GTTGCTGCTATTTTTATGTGGTATTTCCTGGGGAGAGGGAGGAGGGCGCTGTTAATTTGTTTTGTTGTGGAGGGTGGAGTGTTGGCATGGATTGTACTAGCAGGACCATGGGATGCTGAAGCCATATGGCCAGGTGAAGAGGAGCGCTTCCACTTAGGATCTCTCCAGGCTTTCCCCGTAGTCTGCCCTCTAGTTCTCTCCTCTAGTTTCTATTTTTGTTTTTTACCTAGTAAATAGATGAATATTTTAGTAAACTGAGTTGGATATACCAGACCTTGATCGCCTTCTAATCTTAAGAGAGGCTTCAGTCTCTTGCATTCAATTGAAATTCCTAGTGAATAGCTTCCAGCTTAGATAGAGTAAGGTTGGAGAAAGACAGACTAGACTAGTGAGAATGCCATTTTTAGGACTGTTTTGGTTGTTGAACTGTATATAATTTAAGGGTGGCATTGAATGTGTATAAACTTTGAGATTCTTGACCCTATCTGTTTGGTTACCCTCTGCCATGTAATGTATATAAAATGTACTTGGGGGCTGGAGAGATGCCTCAGAGGCTGAGAGCACTGACTGCTCTTCCAGAGGACCTGAATTTGACTTCTGGTACCCACACAGCAGCTCACAACTGTCTGTAGCTTCAGTTCCAGGGGATCTGGCACCCTCTTCTTGTCTCTGTGGGTACCAGACACACATGTGATGCACATGGAAGCAAAGCACCCATAAAAATAAATACATAGAGCAATCAAAAATAGACTTGTTTTCTCATACCTCTAAGAGTAGTTTATCCTATCTAGAGTGATTCAGATCAGAGCCCAAGGCACTTCATGTGGACTTCTGACAGCTTGTTCACCTGCTGATCTAAATAGCTATCTTCACTTGGCCCTACTTCCTACATGCCAGAATATTCTAGGACTGCTGTATAATGCAATATGCTGTGCATTTATGAACAAAACTGCTTAATTGATTGGCTATGGGCAGACTAACTTGAGAGATGATCTATTCTGAGAATTCTGCATTAGAAGAGTCTTAGTGAGTTTCTAGAAATACATAAAGTTTCTAGTATTAGTTGTATGTGGTGAATTTTAAATTTTGAACATAAGTTGGCTTTGATAGGCATAAAATAATTTTTTTCTATTTGCTCTATTATCAAGAGGCATACATGGTACTTTTTCTTTCTTGATTCTGAGAATTTGAAAGAATAATTTTTTTTGTCTTTTAAAAATCTTTGTGTAGTCTCATGTACATACATAAGAACTTTGAGTTTTTTTTATAATTCCCATTCCCTTTCTCATTTCTTCCTCTCTCCCATTAACCCCTTACTAAGGTTCCACCCCTACCATCGAGCTTTTCCTTTTGTGTGGACCCCAGTGAGTTAGTCAGAATTGCTTGCAGGTGTGTGGGTGAGCGTTTGTTTAATAGTGGTGTGTGAGTAGCGTATCAGGCTACCCCACTGAAGAAAATGGCACCCCTCTTCTGGCGGCCACTCTTGTCAATAGGTCTTGAGGGATGGGGCCTGATGACTCTCTCCCCCATTTATGATAAAATGTTTAGGGGTCCAGTCTTGTGCGTATATGCACAGCTGTCGTGAATGCTTAAGTTCACTGAATGTGTCATGTCCAGAAGATACCTTTTCATTGCACATTTCTGCCATCCTCATGTGCTCACGTTTTTCCTGCTCCATCTTTCGTGATGTATGTATTCTGAGCCTTAGGTGGTATCCCATTTATCATCAAACACTGATTCTTGGTATTTTAGCCAGTTAGGGATTTCTGTCTTAACTACCACCCACTACAGTATTAGGTGTGTGACCTTGGAAATTAAAAAAACATCCTTATACCTTAATATCTTTAATATATGCGTGTTTATATGTACATGTGTGTGCATGTCATTTTTTTAAAAGCTCTTGTAGCCCAGTTTGTCCTTGAACTCATTGTAGCTGAGGATGATTTTGAACTTGATTTACAGAGCTTTTTAGCTTTTAGAGGAAACTAACTTTAGGAAGATTTATAACTCTGAAATCTTCTTGATCCAAAAGGCTAAACCATTCTGACAGGTTAAGAAAAACACTGGGCGCTACCTCAGTTTTGATGCTGTGAATGGAAGCTTAGGTACTTGAAACTTGCAAAACTATGGATGACCTTAAAGGTTACCAGCTTAGAGTTGTGTGTGGTTCTTGGATAAACCAGCAAAAAGATTTCAAAGTTGATGTGTGTTTAGCAAAAACAAAAAGGGGGGAGGGATATATTAAGGATTATTTTATTGTTATGAGCCCTATAGATTTTTTTCTGTTTTATCTTTAAGTATGCTTGTCTAAATTTGTGGAGGTTTTTGACATAGTGCAAAATTTTGTCCTTGATCATTTAAGGAAATAATTAGAATTAAATTTTTAACTGGCATTAGATAAAATATTCAATAAAATCTTTTTTGGATAGTGTTTCAATAAGGAATTTTTAATTTAAAATTGGCAGATAGTTGTAGGAGATTAACACCAAAGCAAACGACCACTTGACTTATTTCTCTAGGGTTTTATGTTTCTCCCTGGTCTGGGGATACAGGTCCGCACAGTGCTTGCCTAGGGTAGAAGAAGTGCTGGGGCAGAGGGTGAGACCCTTGACTTTGCAGAATATGACCCAAGTGTACACACAAACACACAGTGAAATTGCAAAAGAATAAACAAAACAAAAATTCTTTCCTTAATTAAGCAAAGCATTGCTTTGTAGACTTTTTCTTATGTGTATGTAATATCATTAATTTTCTGTTAAATTGCTGGAATCTTGTACATTATAGTGATTTTCAAATTTTGTTTGAGTGAATGAGAAGCCTGTTTTTTTTGGGGGGGGTTGCTGTCTTTCAAATGAGAACTTAGAGACTTGGAAGAATCTAAACTTGAGGGCATACACTTACCTTTGCAGCCCTTGGTAAACTAAACAGGAGGATTTCCCAGAGTTTTAGCTGGAGCCAGTCTCGAGTACAGTCATATCAATTATTTGGGATTACTTCTTTGAAAATTTATTTATTTATTTATAAAAAACAGGTATTATTTTTTTCCCTATCTATCCATTACTTTTATTTTGTGTGTGTTCAAGCATGCCATAGCACACATGTGGAACTCAGGTCCTCAGACTTGACAACATAAGACTAAATAGATTTCTATAATTAGAACCCAATAACCTGGTAGAGAGTATTTGTGAAGGCTCTCCTGTCTGCAGTTTCAGGCTCTTTTTTGTCCTGTGACAGCCATTTTACTGTTTTAAAAGTGTATGAATGTCATTACTCAACTAATTATTTAGTTCTGAAACAAACAAGCATACATATATGTCTACGGAAACGGCAGCACTACTAAGATGAAGTCAGACTGAGCTGGAGAAGGTGGGCTGGCTAGTGCCTGCGCCATGTCTGCTCTCACCTTTCTGGAGAGTTTATCGGAGCCCTTGGGGAGGTTGGTGAACAGTTTGGGGGACCTTGGGAAACAGATTGTCTCTTGTTGCCAGGCACCGGGCAGTATTGAGGGGAGGTGTAGGTGTTGTATGCTGAGCTCAATGACAATCAGAGGGACCAGGCTGCTTTTTGCTTTATTTCCAATCTCTGCCCTACTTTGAGTTCTTAGGAGGAAGGGCAGATGACCACTTCTGTGGGTGAAATATTACTCCTACCTGATCTCAGAGAGAGAATGGGGAGGCAGAACAAAAACGACTTAACAGCCATTCTGAGCCGGTTAAAGGTGCCAGTGGTCAGGACGCAGAGAAAGGGTGATGAGGATAAAGGCAAATCAGTGGTGGCCGCAGAAAGACGGATGCAGAGCCTAGGAGAGGACGTGAGTAGATGAAAGTACTGTTTCCAAGTCAGTTGTGGAGAAACTTTCTACTCCTGGAGCTGCTGCGCCATCCCACTGCTGTCCTGTCTGGTGGACTGTGTGCTCCCTTGTCTGTGTGTTCTCCCTCACGAGTGTGCATGTGTGGAGCTATATAACATGAGCGCCGTCTGAGCTCTGTGTCAGCACCGTGAGCTGAGCTTGGTGCATGGGAAGCAGTCAGCGTCTGGAGGGACGCACAGACCCTTTCATTCAAGTCTTTAATGTGGGTGTCTGTGCTATGGTTTTTGTCAGTAATTTTGTTTAGTGTAACGTCTTGCCATGTTTCTGTCCCTTTTTTCTCTTGGTTCAGTGTCTAATTGTTTTGTTTTATAAGACATTCTTCTCTGTGCTTCTTGATGACAAGACAAATGCCATCTTTGTATATATCACAGTACACAGCAAATTGATGGGGAGACACTTTTTGAATTGAATATCTTTATTTATTCATTATGACTTACATTGCTGAAATCCAGTTTGCCTTTAACAAAGGAATACGCTCACTAGATAAAACAGAGTGATTCTCTCTGACAGCTTCTCTTTCTAGGGATGGAGACCTTGGGAATGCTTTGTTAAACTTGTGGCTAGCTTTGGTGGTGCAAGCTGGGATTTTCTCAAGTCTATGTTCATAATTTTCTGTGTACTTTTTGGATCAAACAAAAATGCCATAATTTTCAGTGAGATAGATTACATACATTGAAATTTTAAAAAATGTTTCTTTGTGTTACAATTCTTGAGATTGAATTTTAAAGTATTATAAATAATAATGACTTTGTACACTGGTTAGTCATGCTACTCAAACTCTTTTGTATGCTTTTGCAACTATAAATATTCAGTTATTACATAATTTATTTCTCATGCAAGGTTTTCATTCAGTAGTATTATCACTTTTTTTCAATATTTGTTGATGATCTCTGTTAATCTCTGTGTATTGTTTCTTGAAAATAAACATCCAAGGATATATTTCCAAAAGTAAATACTTTAATACTTTCTGAAATGACACCATACTTGTATAAAAGGACAAATTTAAAATCATTAGTGTTTAAAGAAGAAATTAAAGACTACTTAAATTGTTTTTCCTAATTCATATGAAGAATTCTTTATTTTGTTTTTATTTACCGTTTCCTCCTTTTGTCTCTTTGCTTTGTTTCAGGCCAGTCTATCCATATGGGGATGGGGAAGCCTTGGCATTGTCCTTTTTCTAGTAACCTTTGGACCCTTTGTAATATTTTATTTGGCATTTTATATCCTCTGCTTTGTGGGAGGGTAAGTATGCACAACGGTAATTTTATAACTTACGTGTTATTTGTTAAAATTGAAATAAAATGACCGAGAACTCAGTATAATTTATTTGTGAATGCTGTTTTCTCAAATTTTGTTTACCGAAGCTTAAAAAAAAAAAACCAAGTAAAATTAAGATACCCATTTGTTTGTAGTGGTTATCTTTACAAATACAATTTCAGTAATTAAAGATGAAATTGTTTTTCATAATATGAAAAATTTTGATGTTATTCCTGGCTAAGGTTAGAATTTTATTATCTCTTGTGATGCTTTAATCAGCTGAGATAACACATCTGGTTTTCCTTTTTAGGAGGTCCTATTTCATTAACTGGATGGCAGATACTAATTGTGCCTTCTGATGTATGTTCCTACTTTGATCCAGACAGTGCAGATGAACACCAGCTTTTACAGTTTTCTCTTTATGGTTATTTGGTTTGCAGTGTTTATGATTTTGCTTAAATTGACAAACCTTTACAAAGAAGGTTCCAGCCAAGCTTTAGTAATGCTTTGTAACAGAACAGTTGATATTAGACTCCAGATGGGGACATGCCTGTGTAGTACTGTCCAGAGCAGCTCAGCCAGATGAGCATTTTGTTCTTGATGTGTGTTGAGAAAGTCCATTGTAATGTAATTAGTGTATGGTGTACACTTCCTAGTTCTTTTTGAAAATATTTTGAAACTTCCCAACATTTGGAGGAGTTCCTGAGCTTCCAGTTTCAGGTGATTTATTTGACTGTACATGTGAACAATCAGCTCTCTCACCCATAGGTCTGAAGTCATGCTCGCTTTCTAGGGGGCACACAGTGATGACTGAGCAGTTCTGTCATAGACTCCACAGAACTGTAGCTCTTGTTAGGTTCAATATTTTCTCAGTAATTGTCTAGACAGAGTATCTTGTTACTGAAAGAAAGAAATAAATCTATTTTAGCCACAGGAATCAGGTGATAGAGAGTTCAGAGTATCTCAAATGATAATGAAAACATTGGTACAGAATGTCTGAAACCAGACGTGCAGGTCCAGAGCCAGAAGAGAGCTCCAGCCACACTGACTTGCTTGACTGCACTTTCCCACGGAGTCAAGGTGGCTTCTACTGACTGGGAAGATTATTTTTCTTAAAGAAATGTTTCTCTAAATTTTAGAATCTAAAGGTAGAGATTCTACTAACTTCATAAGTAGAATAAGCCTTTTGTCAATATTTCCCAACACTTTGGAAAGAAGGAAAATTTTAGCTTTAGAGACAAAACTCAGAGTTCTAAGATGATAGATCTCTTTCTCTGCTTCCTCCCCCATCCCGACAGGGTTTCTCTGTTACACACATACATATATACTCATACATATCCAACACACACGCACACATACACACACACACACACACACACACATATACACAAAGGCTTGTATGTATTATATGTAACTGTAGGTAAATAAATAATAATGCAGTTTCTCTTTTAGACATCATCCAGTTGTTTTACCCTCTTTCCTTCCTCTCCTTCGCCTTTTGTTTGGTTTTGGTTTTGGTTTTTCAAGACAGTTTCTTTACATAGTCATGGCTGGCTTCAAACTCACAGAGAGCTGCCTGTTTCTACCCTTTCAGTGCTGGTATTAATGGTGTGCACTGCCACTACCTGGCTGAAGGTTTTTAAAATAAAAATTATTTATGTAAAACTTCCAAAAATACGATATAATTCACTGAATATTTCTAACTGTTATAAATTTCAAAGCCTAACAAAATTTGTCAATCTTGATTTTCCAAATTTCCAGACTTAGTTTTTAAGAAATGGTAACTCATAAAGTCTGAGCAGTATATCCACTAACAAATTTGATAAAACATAGAAATACTTTGTATTTTTAATCTATAATTGTTTTTCCCGCAGGGGTTTAGTGGTTACTCTCCTGTATGGGAAGACAAACTCAGAGAAGCACCTCGAGTTGTGTGAGCACTCGTTCCTTCCTCCAGCGCCACCCGGGGTCCCTAAGGTAGGTTCTGGATCGGGTGTGTGACGTGGCAGGGCAGCGGGCTCACGGCTGCTCTGTCTACCCGGAGCTGCTGGAGAGCTTCCTTAGTATGATGTGGAAACAAACGGGAAGGCAGCTTTCAGGGAAAGATAGAAATTGGTTAGTTTAGTTTGTTTCACTGTCTTAATATCCAACTGTCATTTACATAATTTATAAAAATTTATAAGAAGACCAATGAATATTTGGTTTGAGAGAAAGAAATTGAATAAGAATCATACAATGTACACTTTTAAATTACTTTGAAAAGCATAGTTTGCAATTAAGCTAAATAATATCTAGTTTTAAGAACTCGGGTCTTATTTTTATCATTCTGAATTAAACTATTTTTCTGTTAAAGTATTAGATTTTATAAATGAAGTAGGTATTGCATCCTGTGGGTACATAGAACTCATAGTTGCTATATGCTTAAGTTTTGTGTGATGGGGATCTCATTTTATGTGGAGAGACAAATGACCTGAATTTAATCTAGTAATTTAACTTTAAAGTCACTTAAATACTAAAATATAAATGAAGCAAGTCATGTATAGTATTAGTTTATATTGTAGAAATGAAAGAATTCCACTTCATTCTGTTTTATTTTGATCACCTTGATGATCACATTATAACGTTTTTCTTCATACTATTTATTATAATTGTTGTGCATATTAATTGTATACATGAGTGGGTCGCTGTGAAATTTCTACATAGATGTGCTTTGATCCCATCCACCCTTTGGACTCCTCTCTCTCCCAGTCACATCCTCATCCTCAGAGCCCCTCTACACTCTTGGAGAGAGACCGTGCTTACTTGTCTTTCTGTGTTTATCTTATTTTGATTAATACATTGTCTTCAAGATGTGTCCATTTTTTTCCTGCAGATGGCCTGCTTTTCTTATTTATGTACGGTAGTACTTCCTTTCATGTCCACACTAAGTTATTCATCTGCAGCCTGGCTTTATCCTGCATGTTGTGAGCAGCGCTGCAGTAATCGTCACTACACAGGCATCTCTGAATGCAGACGTAACTTAGGATAAATACCATGGAGTGCTGCAGCTAGGTCAAATGCTTGCAAATTTTTAATTACCTATCCTTCATTTCTTTCTGTTTCTGTAGAACTTTCATTAGTACATATTCTTTGATTTTGTTTACAGAACTCTAAGGAATTAGACCTTCTCTTAACCATTTGTAGTTTACATTCATTTGGAAGCTACATAACAGAATAGAAAACATTTGATGAATTAAGATTTTATATAGTGATAAAAATCAAGACTAGTTAATTTTTTTATAATTCATTTTTCATAAAGGATGCAAAAATAGTTTTGACTTGTTCTTTAAAAATGTGACTGGTAAATAATAGTCTATGAAAAAGAACTTAATGGTTCATAGTACACCTAAAACATGCATTTTATATATACTTGTGCCTTAACAATAAATTTGCATTCTAAGCAGTACGTTATTGAGGCATTTTATCCGTTGAGTATCATAGAATGTGTACAGCCTACTACATCCCTTGTGTAGGTTTCCCGTCTCTTACTCTAGGCAGCGAGCTGCTCAATAGTTTCTGTACTGAATACTCTGATCACCCTAGAGCAATAGTGTTTACATTAGCTAGACCGTGAAATGAAACCATGAAAATGTGGTCTATCCGGTGATCTCTGTGTTGGAGGCCTAGTTTGTTCTCCGTGGTGAGTTCTAGGTTAGGTAGAACTATATATAGCAAGAAAAAAAAATATGGCTCAATAAAAACATTTTAGTGTTTGGGCTCTTGCTTTCAATTTTTTTAAGGAAATTTGTTGAGGTCTGTAAAACCTTCTGCTAAGCCTTAGGCTGTGAGTCACCTGCTTATCTCTCCTGTCACCTGTAGATTTTTTCTTTTGCTTCTTCACTATGTGCTAGGATGTCAACTTCATTATAATCTTAAGTTCCATTGTCTGCCTTGCCCACATCATCATTGAAGTGTCGTTATATGACTGCATATTGATGCTTGGATTTATTTAAGAGGCTCCCTATTCCCACGCTAATTGTCTCTAATTAAAAGTAACTTTAAAGTGAGTTCATTTGATAGTTAATATGCTCTTGGTCCCCAGAAAAGGAGAGGGACCATAGAGAGCATCAGGAAAGACAGTCAGTGGATAGATCAGAAACGTTAACTTCATAGCAGTTGTTATACCCGTCCATTTTACATCACCTCTTGTCGAATTCATAGAAAGCAATAATAGCCTTTGTTTTCCTGGATATCTAATTTTCTTACTCTGAGAAATGAAGTTTGACTTAAACTTATTTTACCAAATTATTTATTGCCTGGGAAATAAGGGAAAGTATAAAAAGAAATCAATTTGAAGCAGAAGTTTGAAATCAAAAAAACACTGAGTAACACATTATGGTTTTCCTTAAGTGCTTAGAAGAAATGAAACGAGAAGCCAGGACCATTAAAATCGATAGAAGACTGACAGGTGCCAATATAATTGATGAGCCTCTCCAGCAAGTGAGTTTCAGTATGTCGTATTTGAATTTCATCTCTTGTATTTGAGTTACATTTCTTTTGGAAATACTAAGGTGCACCTCTTAACTATTTAATTTCCTGCAATTTTATGATAATGCTATCTTTGAATTTTATATGTAATAATTATATTTATTAGGTACTTATAATGAGGCAGTTTATTTAACACGATAGCATTTATGGATTAATAGCTATTAGAAAGTTTTGCTGACATCTGATATTCTAGTAATTTCATAATTTAAAATATTAATGTATCAATCTTGTTCAAGCTCGGTGTTTGATAAATTAGACTTTTGAGTTAGTTTTATTCCTTTAAAGATGTGTATCACCGGTTTGATTAAAAGTGTTAATTAGAATTGGGAGTAGATATCCCTCAAATATTTTCTGATCATGGTTTTGATTATATGATCATTATAAATAATTTATACTTTGAACTTTAATATTTTATAAATTAGCCTGTAGTTAACTTATATGACTTGTAGAAATCGTAATCTTGATGTTATGGACTAACAGTATTGGCTGCATCAAAGGTATTGATAGAACTCAGTGGATCGGATGGGGATCTATAAAACACTTGCGCTCCTTGTGTCTGTTGGCATTATTTACCCCCCTTGCACTGAATGTATACTCTCCCCTGACTGCTATCTGAGTGTGGGGATTCATAGATAATGTTCTAGTTTCTCAAAAATTAAAGCTGTGTGAGTTGGGTTAGCAAACATGTTTTGAGACGGTTTTTACTATGAGATAATGAAGAAAGGAATTTACTATCACAATGTAAGATGTGTAGAAGAATGTAAGTTGGCAAATAATTGTCTCATTTTTTGTTTTTTGCTGCTGTTTTTAAAACCTAAAAAACTGTTTTCTCCCTGATGTTTTGCTCTAGGTTATCCAGTTTTCGTTGCGGGATTATGTCCAGTACTGGTATTACACACTGAGCGACGATGAGTCGTTTCTTCTTGAGGTTAGGCAGACTCTTCAAAATGCACTCATTCAGTTTGCTACTAGGTAAGACTGCTGCTTAGAGTTATACAGAACAGTTCAGGTGTGTCATGTATTACAGTAGCAAACAGCTTCCAAATGAAGGGATTTTTAGCTAAAAGGTAAGTTGAATAGTGGACTGTTATTATGGGATGTTATCACATTATCTACACAAATACACTTTTCATTTCTCTTGGACAGATGTCCTTAATATTTTGTGAAAATGCAAATTTCTTTGAAGTGTTTGCATTGTGTTACATTCTAATTAGCAACTTCATATTTTTCTGTCTTTGCCCACAGTTGTTATTGTCTGTCAGTTTTGATTATAGCACCTAGTAGATGTGAGATAGCATAGTATATCATTTTGGTTTTGTCTTGCGTTTCTCTGAAAGTTATCACTGAACACCCTCTCATATACTTGTCAGCATTGTATATCACCATTAAGGAGTGCCTAGGCACACCCTCGCTCTGTTCTAAATGAGGTCCCTTGTATCTTATTACTGGCTCTACTTTGCCTTTGACTTTTTAATACTGAATCCAGCCATGGTGGTGTCCACCTGTGATTCAGCACTCAGGACATGTTTGTGGTCTACATGGCCAGCTCCAGGACAGCCAGGGAGACAGAGAGCCTCTCTTCGTTTGGACAGTGGTGCTCATTTGTCTGTACTTCTCTCATAGTGTTTGTAGTGAGTTGGCATCATTGCCTGGCTGTGACAGATGTGAAGGGCGTCCAATATCATACTTTTTATTTGTCTTATTAAAAAAAGAAATTTACTTATCTAGGAGTAGACACTTTTGTCATCATTGGGGCATTTAAAATTTTTAAAACTTTTTAAAATAATTTATTCAAATTTATTTTATGCATTGGTGTGAAGAGCCCCTGGAGTTAGAGTTACAGATAGCTGCGAGCTGCCATGTGGGTGCTGGGAATTGAACCCAGGTCCTCTGGAAGAGCAGCCAGTGGTCTTAACTGCTGAGCCATCTCTCCAGCCCCATTGAAATTTTTTTTTTTAAAAAATGTTTATGGGTGTTTTGCCTGCATTTATGTATGTGCTTTGTACTTGGGGAGGCTAAAGGAGGTCGTCCCTTAAAACTGGGTTATAGATAGTTGTGAGCTACTGTGTAGGTTCTGGGAACTGAACTCTGGTCATCGAGAAGAGCAGTCAGTGCTTTCAGCTGCTGAGCCTTCTCTCCAAGTTTGCTTTTAAGACATTCAAGAAACACTAAGTATGTAGTAACTGTGTTAAAATGAAGGCTTACAAAATAGTGTGCTGTTTAATTTCAGCTATTTTGTAAATATTATATATAACAACGACAATAAAAATAAATGCAGGAAATAGGAGCAGTGAACTTTGGGTTTTCAGTTTATGGGTAAATATAGCTAACTCAAGAAATTTAAAGGAGAAAATTACATTTTATAAATCTGGCATTTTCCTTTATAGCCATAGATAGGCAATTAAACATATGCTGAGCATAATGAAGATACGCAAGATGTCCTTTTATGTTCTCCTGTCCTCTTTAAGGAGGAAAACAGAATTGTGGCTGGCTTGGTCTGGGCAGGTCCCGTGCGTACATGGCAGCCCTGCAGCTCCCGGTCTGTGTGTGCTGCTGCCCTCTCTTCCTGGTGGGTGCTGTTTTGCTGCTTACCTTCCTCTTGCTCTCAATCTTACAAGTGTTTGCTCCCTTTCTGATGACCCCCAAGCCTTGGGGGAAGAGGGTATGATACAGATGTGCTGTTTACATTACATTTTTATTTTGTGTGTGTGTGTGTGTGTGTGTGTGTGTGTGTGTGTGTGTGTGAGAGAGAGAGAGAGGGGGGGCAGGCAGAAGGGGTGGGGAGAGACAGAAAGGGAGGATTCGATTCCTGGGTAGCAGTGCACAGGTCTTTAGCACAGTAGTTAGGAGGAGTATTGTAAACAAAGTGAACAAAGAGCTGAGACATCAGTCATTACTTAGAGTGGTTGATAGCAGGAGTCCTCGTGGGAAGCTGGGTCATGAATGTGTAGCAGAGTGGCTTTTATCTCATTCTTTTTTGTTTTTTGAGGGGGGGTTTGTTTGTTTTGTTTTTTTGAGACAAGGTTCTCTGTGTACCATACCTGGCTGTCCTGGAACTCACTCTGTAGGCCAGACTGGCTTTGAACTCACAGAGATCTGCCTACTACTGCCACCTAAGTGCTGGGATTAAAGGCCTGCACCTCCACCCCCTGGCTCATGGCCCATTTCTTACTTATTTATCATGTGCCATTTTATAGAGTACACCATTGTTAAACTGTTGCCTACCTTTGTCAAGACAGACATTCAACATTTTTAGCCCTCCTGTTTGCAAATAGAAAACAGTAATGTTGCCGTCCTTCTTGTTCTCTTGGAGTTGCGATTTTGTCTAGGCTGCATGTAATTGTAAGAAAGTCAGCATAGAGGTGGTGTGCTGGTTTGTTTTTTCTTTTTACCCTCAACATATTTCAGTTTTGGAAAATAGAAATCTAGATTTAAATGTTTGAATAGTTTATATTAAATATTTGTATTACATGATGGTTTTATTAATTTTAGTTGTTAGATGTTCCGATGAATTGTTAGGAGTTTGAAATGCCTTCTAATTTTTGGAGCAGTTTAGTAAATTAATAAATGGCATTGTTCTATAAAGGAAAACAGATGTGCAATTCTCTATATCATTTTTTTCCAAACTATTTAGAAGAAGCCTTTTGTGGAGTAATTTATCTTGTAGCGAGTACACTGTGTTTTACAAAACTGAAAGTTGCTCATGTTGATTGTGACTTAAATGGTTTTAAAGTCAGCATTTCACTGTAGTTCAGTGTGTATCCCCAGGCTGACCTCTGATTTGAGAGCCTTCAGCTTTTGCTTGCTTTGGGTACATGTGTGTCAACATGACTGGGTTGAGGTTTTTTTTGTTTGTTTGTTTGTTTGGTTTTTTGATTTTTTTTTAAAGTATAAGTCCCATTTTATTTTTCCAGGGTGTTTTCTTCCTCTGTCTTTTTGAAGCCACTTGTTCACATGGGCCTTGGTGGGAGATCAGGGTGCAGCACCAGCAAGGCTGAATTGTGGGGATGTTTGGTCTTTCTGAGCATCGTGAGATTGATTCCTGACTACCTTGCTATGAATAGCACAGCTCACACAGTGATGCAGCTGACATAGTTTGGGAAGCACATAAGAGTTGAAGACTCTGACAGCAGCAGCCTCTACAATGTTCCGAATGATGAACTTCTTAATGGCCTTGTTCTTGGGCACGTACCAGGCACAATTCATGCAGCAAATTGGCTGCACGTGGCTGTGGTCCTTTTTGGTACAACTGTATTTTCTTTTTCTGGTCACCTTGGAGCCAAGACCCCAAAGAGGCTGAATTTATTTATTTATTTTTGACTAAGGGAATGGGGGTGGTGGGGATGGGACTCTGGTGATTTCTAGGCTTACGTTTTTATTTCAGATTTTATAGAGACTCACAATATTGCTGCCAGGTTTGTTTGCATACCTAAAAATGTGCTTATATTTTGAGAGTGCTGATCCTTTCTCAGCTCCTAAAGATTGAGAACACCGTCATTTTTTTTGCTTCCTTGTACTTGATTAGGCCTTCTCATGCCTGTCAAACTCTAGCAGTGCCTTGACGATGCATAGATGAGTTGTGTTTGGAAGGGGTCTGTACTGTCTCAGTGCACTGCTGCTGTCAGTTCCCTCGCAGCAGCTGGGTTTAGATGTGGATTTTATAGAGATTTCCTTGTGAACGGCAGACCACTTGGTGGAAGGCTGGCTCGCACAACAGAGGCAGAGCGTGCCTGTTGTCTGTCACTAGTCCACTGTGCTCTTCAATCACTGTCCTGTCTGTCTATCTGTCTGTCTGTCTGTCTCTCTCTCTTTCTCTCTCTCTCTCTTAAGACTGGTTTATTTGCTACAATGCAAAGCCTCTGATTGAAAAGAAATAAATAGGACCAGCCATGAAATGAACGTCTGCACAAGTTGTTCATTGTGTATGTATCGCCAGCGGTCAATGAATGTGTTCTCTCCTGCTCCCATTGCCCTGGGCTCTCTTGTAGCCCAGCGTCTGACTGTGTTTGCCCTAGGTATACTCCTGAAAGTGTTAACAGAATCATGTGCTGTTTTTACTTGTTTAACTAGTTACTAGTTACTAAAACGTTCTTTGAACTTTGTTGCTGTTGAGATAGTGCACTAAATGATTTCATAAGATTAATATTCAACATTTTGTATTCTGAAGAGCTTCATACATGTTATACTTATCATGACCTTTTAGCCTAATGGTTCTATGTCTTGTTATTTAGTGGTCATAGTTTTAAGTGCTAGTATATGTAAGAAAAAAGAGTGGAAAATTTAGAATGGATTCAGAAGAAACTAAGAAGTCTCTGAAATACTCCTAAGCAGATAGAAACATTCTGAATCTCTCAGCTATTTTTTATCTGGGCTGAGAAATTAAAAGATTTACCCATGGGCAGGCTTTTTTTAAAAAAAAAAAACTATTATTTATTTATTTATTTATACTATTTTTACCAGTTTTTAAGAATTTAAATTGTATTTTTATGCCTTTTGATACTAATTAAAATATATTGTCAGAAGACTCAGTCTTATGTAGGAAAATCTAAGGTATAAATATTAAAATATAAAAGGAACAAGATCTGAACCTGAGGAGCTGGAGGATCCTGGTGTGAGCACCTGCGACTCTCGCAGAGGACCTCTGCTTCTCCCATGCCTGGTGTCTCACCACTACTGCAGCTTGCAGCTGCCTGTAACTGCAGGGAGTCCGACTCGTGTCTGCAAAGCGATTATATAATGATTTTATGTTTTTTTTTTCTATAAGGTCAAAAGAAATTGACTGGCAGCCTTATTTTACTACACGCATTGTCGATGACTTTGGCACTCACCTGCGAGTATTCAGAAAGGCTCAGCAGAGAGCAACAGAGAAAGATGATCAAGTCAAAGGTACTGACTTCATTTCATGTTAGGATTTCAAATCATGTTAGGATTTAACAGTCGTTTATCTCTGCACATTCTCAGCTGCTCCTTGTTGTTCTAGGTACAGCAGAGGATCTGGTGGAGACCTTTTTTGAAGTTGAAGTTGAAATGGAGAAGGATGTTTGCCGGGACCTAGTGTGCACTTCTCCCAAAGATGAAGAAGGTTTAATTTTTAATGTAACTCTTTTGTGAACAGTCTCAGGTTAGAGGCAAGTTACCAGGACAAATCTTAGGTGGTGGTGTTCTTGCACAAGACAGCTTGCAGAGAGAAGACCGACTTTATGTAACTCTTACACTTACCTCCACGTACGCTTCTCCTCCTGAAGCTTATCTTTTAAACAACAGAGCGCTTAACAGTTTAAGAATATTAGTAATTTCTGGTTTTTCAATTGATTATCTATAACCTAAGAATATACCTGTTTTCTTAAACTCTTTTCTAATTAATTTCAAATAAAATATTTAGATTATTATGTGCTATTTTATGTGTTTGACTAGTTACTGGAATTAGTGTTTCTTGATGTTTCAATAAAATTTCACTTGGTGGGTCGTTAGATAAGTTTTGCTCTCTCGATTTTTTTTTTGTTAATTTTAGTTTAGTCCATAATTAGATCTTTACTATTTGGAATGTAATTTTACCAATGGGATCAGCTGTTGAATTATTTCCCAGGAAGTGTCCGTGTGGGAACAACCATAAGGAAGTATTGGTAGTTCTGAAAGTGCTTTTCTTCAGGTTTGGAACATGCTAAACTATTTTCCTGCCTTTTCTATTATTTTTCTTTCCCCCTTTTTCTTCTTTCCTGTTTATAGTTGTTATTAAGTTTAGTTTTCACCACCAGTTCATTAGTGGTGTGTGAAGTCATAGGTAAAGAACAAGTACCTACAGTGCTGTGAGAGCTTTCTAAGTCAGTAGACTAGAGGGGCTCATCCCTGCATTGTTATACATGTTGCGATTGTAGAATGGTTCTTTTTCCTGAATAATTAATATAGGTTATCTTTATGTGCATAGGAAACTTCTAAGTATGCAAGGATAATACATAATAGATATGAAAAGTATATTGTATATTTAAAGCTGTCTTAGAGAAAAACAATTTTGTCATTAAAGTTTCTCATGATTAATAAGACTGGTTCAGACTGATGTGAGTTTGATTAGTGAGCAGTAACTATCTGGAGAGCAGTGACAGCGGTTTAGTGAATGCTGATGTGTAAGTACTGAAGCAGGAAGCTGTTATGAACACGAGCCTTTTAAAACTGTGTCTTATATAAGAGTAGGTAGAGACTTTAGATTTTCTAATGTTATTATGGCTACTTTTTCTGTTTTTAGGATTCCTAAGGGATTTGTGTGAGGTTTTATTATATTTATTGCTACCTCCTGGAGATTTCCAGAACAAGATCATGCGATACTTTGTCAGGGTAAGCGTAAACTCATACCCAATAATGATGTAAGGGAACTGAGAGCAGTAGTTCTCAAAATCTTTGGCCTTGAGACCCAGTTAAACTTCAGAATCATGGAAACATTGAGGAGCTTTTTAAAATGTGATTCTTCATCTTTAATAAGTATGTGTCATAAAATACAAAAACAAATTTTAAAACAGAAGATCATTAGCTGATAGGTCAGTGACATCAGTGAATGCTTTCTTGTCCCATGTGCTTATTAGGAATGAGTATGCCAATGTAAATAAGGGCTTGGTATCATTATGAAAGTGGACTTTGGCTCAGCTCATTCTTTGAGAAAGGATTTTGGGTCTATGGACATAGGACCTTGAACACACCCAATCTTGTCTGATCACATAAGCTAAGCAGGGTTGGGCCTGGTTAGTATTTGAATGGGAGAAATGAACTTGGGAACCTTTTCTGAATTCTCCAGAGGTCACTGGCCAATACTTTGAGAACTGCCTTAGAGCTAGGAACTTTAATATTTGGTTATAATACAGACAGACTTTTCTTTTTAATTGAAAAATGATTCATGCAATATATTTTCATCGTTTCCTCTCTGACTCTTCCCCACCTCACTATCCACCCAACTTTATGTTCCTTTTTACGTCTCTCTCAAAACAAAACAAAAGAAAACCAAGGAACACAGAGAAATCCCACAAAAGGGGAAAATCACACAAAAGTCCATCATGACAAAACATGCCGAAGAAAGCAAAATGGAACACAAAGTCCGCAAAATACTGCTAAGTTTGTTCTGTGTGGTTCAACTCTTCCCAGGCGTGGGGCCCTCCCTGAAGTGTGGCTAATCGATCCAGTGAGACTCCACTGAGAATGGTGGTTTTCTCTTTGCCAGTGGCATCGGTTACAGACAGCTTGGTTAGAGGTGGGGTGCTGTGTCTGCTTCCCCTCTCAGTGCTGGGACCCTGTCTGTCTGGAATCTGTGCAGGCTTCGTGTACACTGTCTCGTCTCTTGAGTTCATATGTGAGTCCTGTTGTGGATGAAGATAATGTTTCCTTGAGGTCATCTATCACCTCTAGCTCTTAGAATCCTTTGGTTCCTCCATTGCATAGCTCCCTGAGCTCTGAGGGGAAAGGATTGGTGTAAACACCACTTTTACAGATGAGTGATCCATAGACTCAGTCTGCACATTGTCCAGTCGTGGGTCTCTGTGTTAATTCCATTCTACCACAAGAAGACTCTTTTCTGGTCTGGGTTGAGCAAGTACAGATCTATAGGTATAACAGTATGTCATTAGGAGTTACTTCATTGCTGCAGTCCTTTAGAGGAAGGACAGTAGTATTTTACCCTTTAAGCCGTGATCTGTCTACTCCTTTTACCAGTGTGAGGTATGGGCTCCAGTCTCACACAGAAAGTCTTGAATCCAGTTAGAAAGTGATTGGTTATACCTGGAATATTTGCACCATTATCACACCAGCTCATCATGCAGGCAAGTCACCATTGTAAGTCCCAGGTTTTGTAGCTAGGCGATACTGGTTATTACTTTTCTCCTCCGGAAGCATGCAGAAGCCTTCCACTACTATAAATGCTAGCCACTAGGGGTAAACCTTCTAGTCGGGCGCTGGCTTGCCTCTACCATGTTTGATGACGTAATTAAGTGTTGTCTTTAGCAATAGGACTTTAACATCCGTTTGTGTTGAGCAACCAACTAGCCTTGACAATGGCTTGTGATGTTTAGGATAGTCCCTGAGGACCTTTTGGTCAACAAGAGAGAGAGAGACTTAAAACATTTCTTCAGTTTTACAGCTTTACTTAAGTTAGGTTAGATAGACGTAACATTTTGAGACAGAAACTTTAAAATAAAATTGACTTTTCCCAGTTGGAGCATGACTGAGATGAGAGCAGTGCTCTATTGTGTGCTCTAATTTAAATCTTGTGTAAAACTCGTACAGATGCCAGGCTCTGGCTCTGACTGCTAGTTCTGAATGAGACAGAAGAGCATGTCCTGGTGGAGGGGCTGCGTGAAAGTTCATTTTCCTAAAGTGCAGGCTCATTGCACCTGTGCAGCACAGCTCCGCAGCCTTGCCTTTATGCAGGTCCCAGCGTCTGTATTGCTTACTCCTAGTGTTCTTCACAGGCAGTGGTGACAGGAGGTGAATGGTTACTGGGCTCATCATTCCAGAAGGTGCTGAATTTTCAGCATGCCTGGTACTAGATTCTACATTATTTCTGAACCTTTCTCCCTAATTTTTTTTTTATGATTTTAAGTTCTTTAGTCCTAAGCCCTGTCCTTTCTTATACATTCTGTGACCACAAACACTGTCCAAATGTTGATTGAGTTTTAACTCTATCACTTTCACTTCTGAATTCCATGTTATTCTGATCAGCTTCTCCTATGAAATAGCTACTTAATTAACTCAATTATCTTTTAAACTTCTAAGTCTCCACAATGAAAGTGCTAAGGCCGGAGAGATGGTTAACAATATCTGCTGCTCTTGCAGAGGACGAGAGTGTGGTTCCCAGCACCCACATCAGGTAGCTGTCAGCCACCTATAGCTCCATTCCAGGGGAGCCAGTGCTTTACACTGCTGAGGGTACCCACAGTCCTGGTGTAGCACACACGTAGGCACATGTACACAAAATGAAAAAAATCCCCAACATCAGAATGGAAGCCTTAGTCTTGATTCTATATCATGCCTACAGTTTAACCTTTAAAAAAATGCTCAGTGAATATAATATAATATATAATATAATATAATATAAATTAAGCAAGTTTTTCAAATCTGGAATCTCTCTGAAGGTTCTGTATGATGTGACCTTTATCTCTAGTTTTATGACATAATGTCAAAGAAAACCCAACCTGTAGTAAAGCTCCAAAAAAGGAATTATATACAGGAATGGTTCAAGTAGGGGAAATAATGAAGCTCTATTATAGATGTCGAGCTAGTTCTGAGTATAGGAAAAACAAGTAGAAATTTACAGTTAACTAAGAAGGTGGGGAGGTCAGTAGGTCAAACATTACGTTTTAATTTTCCCTTCATCTGTTGGTAGATATCTAGTCTGTATCCAGTTTCTCACTGTTATACATAGAGCAGCATGAACATGAATGAGCAAGTGTCTGTAGTAAGCCGTAGAGTCCTTTGGGCATACGCCCCAGAGTGATAGATGCATCTCAGGGAGAAGCTGCCACACTGATTACAGAGTGACTCCCACCAGCGATGGCTGAATATTCCCTTTACCCCACCGTCCTCTCTAGCATTCTAGCTCATTTAATTTTTATAGGTCAGACTGGCCTGTTTAGTGAAGGCACAGTTCATGGTGGTTTTGTCCTCCTACATCAAGTAGCAATTAAGAAATGCCTTACAGACATGGCCACAGGCCAATCTGATTGGGATAGTTTTTCAAGTTGAGCTTCCCTCTTCCCTAGTGACTCCAAGTTTATGTCAAGTTGATCGCTGAAGCTAGCAATGACAGAGGCATGTGAAAGATGTGGTGGCTGTAGTAGACACCTCATTAGCATTCTTGTTGGAGCTGGGCCTGGATGATGAGACACCAAGGGTGCGGAAGAGAAATGCAGTCCAATACTGCGGGTGGAGGTGTTATGGCTAAACTCCTTTGGGTGGATTCTTGTTAAAATTTAAGGTACAAAGATGAAGGAAGGTTGAGGTCTAATTTGGAAGATGATTCAAGTAAGCAGCTAGAGTTTAGTTGAGGATAAAAGTTCTGTCACCAGTCAGCTCTAGTTAGACTAATTTTCTCCCCAAGAAATACCATTTTCTGTCTCACTCATCGGTAGTTGTGTCCTGCGTTTGCTGGTTACTCAGAATGATGTTGTTACTCTCTTCACTTTGCTGTCTTCAGGTCTGTGTCTCAGTATCCCTCATCAGAGATTCCTTTGTGACCACTGAATTTCAAGTTCCTTTGTATTTCCCTGTACTGAAGGCAATGCCTAGTTTTTTCCTTCTTAGTATTTAGCCTCTTTAAGTGATAACTTTTTTTTTGTTTATTAACTTGGTGTTTTTTTCCATAATGAACTGTAAACTAGGGCCGTGCCTACTATTTATCTCTACTGTTGTGAGTCTAGTGGTTAACACGGTGTGTGGTACATAGCAGTTACCAAACCAGCGACTCTGCTGTGAGGAAAGATGGAACTCCATGTGTCGTCTGCTGGTTGTGTCTTGCGTGCTTCTGCACAGTCAAGAACGGAGGTTTGTGTCGTGAAGTGAAGCTGCTATTTAAAAATATGTAGGAAGGTAGTCAGCCATTGTCTCACTATAGATTGCTTTTTGGCCAGATTTCACCCTTTAGGTCAAATCTAGTTTACTACAACACTGCATTCGACCAGTCAGTTTTGTTCATTGCACTTTTAGTCCTTTATCAGTTTTCCTTCTCAGTATTTAAATTCAAACTTTCACAGAAGACATTTTGCTTAGGTTCAATAGATTAAAAATCTCTTTCTGGTGTATTGATTTTTTTGTTACTGTTGTTGCATAGAATGTACAAATGCAGTATTTGTCTAAGGTAATTGCTATTTAAATGATTGTACATTGTTTTCATTCTATATTTTATTCACTGAAGGAGTCATGGCTTCAGTAACTTTATGCCAGGTTTTCATATTGGCATTTGGGGCAATCCTTTAGAAATTTGAGGTCTTAGGCCAACAAGAAGGCTCACTGGGTAAAGGCAAATGCCACCAAGCTCGAAGACCTGAGTTTAGTCTCCAGAGCCCCCACAGTGGAAGGAAAAACCATGCAAGTATTCCTCCTCACCCAGTGGGAGGAGACCATGCGGGTTTTCCTCTGACCTATACAAGTGCTGAGTTGTGTGCTTGTGTGTGTGCACTCCTACATATGTAATAAAAAAAGTGAGAGATATTTTAGCTCTTAAACTCTGAACTACAAGCCAGGGGCACAATAGAGTCCTGTGACAAACTTTTGACTAGCCAGATTGCATAAGGAGAGTTTAAAAGACCATGGTAATTTTCTAAGACTGATGCACTGATTATTTTAAATAATAAGCATAAAATCACAGTTATTTTCAATCTATTATTTTGAAAAGAAACCGAAAAATGATTTTGGGGATTGAACTTTCTGCTTAGAAAGTACATTTTAAAATTTGAACATGTGAGTCAGAAACAATTTTAAGAAAGAAATTTCAAATATAATATATTTTTAAAAAGGAGTATGGTGGCTCATGCCTGTAGTGTCAAACATGAGGAGGTTTGAGCAGGAGGATTAGTCATTTAGGGTCATCCTCAGCTCCATAGAGTAGAAGGAGACTGCTCGTTCATTTCCCAGCTGCTTGGATACAAATAACACAGAAACTATATTGATTACAACACTGTTGGGCCTATTAGCTCAGGCTTCTTATTATCTAAGTCTTACATCTTCAGTTAACCCATTTTCATTAATCTGTGTATTACCATGAGGCTGTGGCCTACCAGTAAGGTTCTGGCTAGTAGCTGGCGTCTTTCTCCTTTGGCAGCTGCATGGTGTCTCCTTGATTTCACCTACTCTCTCTATCTCTCTTCCAGCCTGGCTACATACTGACCTATTATAGGCCAAAGCAGATTCTTTATTAACCAGTGCTAATAAACATATTCATAGCATGCAGAGGGGAATCCCACATCAACATAGAATGTTTGAGGTAGCCTCTGTTGCTTGAGATTCTGTCTTAGAAGTAAAATAAAGAAACAAAAAGTTAGAAATTGACTATATTCCTTATAATCTAGAACTTTATAGAATCTCAATTTCTAGAAATTACTGGTGCCTGGATTCCTGCTTGTTAAAATTATTAATTTATCATGGGGTAATAGCTGTTGGCAAAACTGTTTATTCATGCAGGATTATATAAAATATTTCTTTAAAGAAAAAAATAGATATCTTTGTGTGTGTGTGTGTGACTATATTTCATGTGTGTATGAAAACAAATGATACTGATAAACTAGAGATCTGCCAAGAGAATCAGTTGGCCTTTTAGTTAGGAAAGTGAATACAGTATTCTCAAAAAATGAATTTTGATAACTTTATGTATCACATGCATCAAGGGATGGTTATGCCACTAAAAAATTCTGTGTTAGTAGCATCAGTCCTAAGTTCTTAAGCCTTCATTGCCTGCCATTCATGTAAATAAATGCCCATCTTGGACTTAAATATTGTAGAGGACTGGTAAATATAAAGTAAGTAGCTAGGTCAGTTGAGGAATTCCACTTACACACCAGTTCCTAGGTAGTGATATGGTGTGAGGGGTGTAAGACATAACGAGAAAATGCTGAGACACAAATGCAGTAAATGCAGGCACAGATGTGTTGGAGGGAGCTGCTTGTTCGTCCTGGCCGCCCAAAACCGAAATAATCACACAGACACTGCATTAATTAAATCACTGCTTGGCCCATTAGCTCTAACTTCTTATTGGCTAACACTTACATCTTAATTTAACCCATTTCTATTAATCTGTGCATCATCACATGACTGTGACTTAACAGCTAAAGTTTCGGCATATATCTCTTCAGTGGGACTGTATGACTTCTCTCTGACTCTGTCATTCTCTCTCCCAACATCCAGTTTAGTTTTCCCTACCTAGCTCTGTTCTACCCTATCAGGCCAAGCCAGTTCCTTTATTAACCAATGGTATTCACAGCATACAGAGGGGAATCCCACATCACTTCCCGTTTTCTGTTTAAATTAAAAAGGAAGGTTTTAACTTTAACATAGTAAAATTTCATATAACCAGACAGGTATCAAGCAGGAATTACAGTTGCAATATTTATATCTACTTTATCTTTTATTATAACTAAGGAAAACTGTATTATTACTATCTGCTTTTCAAGTCCATCAAAGACTCCAGAAGGATATATTATTACCCAAGTAAACAATAAGTTCATTGTAAGCAATTTCCAAAGCTCTAGAAATGACAGAGAAATCTCGCTGCCTGGACAGTCACCCAAAGTTCTTCTGTACCATTGGGACATCCATCTTCAGCCTACAGGCCCATAGTATCCAGCAGACTTTTCCATGAAGCAGAAAATTTCAAAGACAGTTCTGTCTATATTTTCAGTTTGTCAGTCACTTTCTTCTGTGTTCAGCAGAATTTCTAGCAGACTCTTTCATGAAGCAGGAACCCTGAAGTATTGTTTCACCATTAGGCAAGTTCAGCAGTCATTTCTCTGTGGGTCCTGCATGTTCAGTTCACATAGCCTGCCAACTAGCAGTCCAGGCAAGAGCAGTTTCTTGTCCAAATGGCTAACAGACTCCATAAGGAGACTCTTCGATGCCCATCTTCTTCTTGGTGCTGCCAAGAGCAGATGCGTCTCACTATCGTGAAACGTCCTAAATTCTTAAAACACTTTAAATGTCATATTCTGAAGGTCTCTGAAAGATTTGAAGAATTTCTATATGTCTCTGTACATCTCAAAAACCTAACTAACATGACTACAAGCTTGACTATTATAGATGACTCTCTGTTAACCTATACAGATGTTTGAAACTTGGACATGGAAAACCTTTTAGCTGAAAGCATCAGGGCATACTTAGTGGGATAATTGAGTCTTTTTTTTTTTAAAGCATAATTTCTTTATTGATTCTTTGGGAATTTCATACCATGCACACTAATTCTGCTCACCTTCCAATGCCCCCATATCCTTCCCTCACCCTTGCAGTGCCATGCAAAAGAAAATTTGAAAACATCAAACCAAATCAAGCAGGCAAACAAAGAAGATAAAAACCAAAAAACTCTTTGCTTCTCCATCTTCCCCACCTCTCCAACACCTCTTCATCCATCCTTCTGGCATTGGAAGCTGAGTGTGTCACACAGTCTGTCATTTGTCCTGTCAGCTTAAGTGGCAAATATTCATTGCAGTGAGTCATGGGTCTGGCTTAAGACTGCTGGTGTCTGGTATACACCATCATCATTGGATCCTCACTGACACTCCTCTGGGATATCCCACAGCTGCCCAGAGTATTTTTTTAACATTCTAACTTTATGTTTATTTTTTCCCTTTTTATTTATTGTTTGTGGTGAACACTTGCACATAAAGGTATGGATAAAAGAATTTACTGTGTGACTCACAATTTTTTTCTTTTCATTTTTTTCCTCTGAAGTTTTATTTTATTTGGTTGGGTGTGTTACAAAGGCAGAGTAGATACGGAGGAATGGGAAATGAATGGGATGGAGGTGCATGGTGTGAAAGATACAAAGCATAATTGGTTCTTCAGTAAGACATTAGGAGGAGGACAGTTTTAATAGAGAAGGTCATAAGAACTGCTAAAAATGGGACTGTAGAGTATGTGAGTAGATTTTATTATTTACTCTTCACGTGTTTTATTGGGAAATAGGTAGAGGAGAGCTGCCTGGATGTAGCCAGTGCTGACCCCACCTGGTGCTTGTTCCATTCATCACTTGAGGTGTATAGTTGTGAAAGTGATGAGTGACTTCTTTTATAAAATACATTTGTATAGATGCTTGAATCCATACAGACCTTTATATAATACTTTGTCTTTTAAAAATTCACACAAATACTAATATTCCAGAGGTGTTCTTTTATTGTTTTTTATTCCCCTCTGATTTTCAAGTGATGTGGCTTGTTCTGTCTGTCTGTCTGTCTATCGATCTGTCTGTCTGTCTATCATCCATTCTTCTCTCATATATTACATCCTGACTTCAGTTTCCCCTCCCTCCACTCGTGTCAATCTCTCCCACCTCCATCTAGTGAGGGTCTCTGCATCTACTCCCATCATTTGCTGGATGAAGCCTCTCTGATGACAGTTTCTCTTGGCTCTGGTCTGCAAGTATAGTAGAGTATCCTTAAGACTTAATTCATTATTTTATTTGTTTATTTATTCAGCCAGTCGTGTTTTATGTTATCCTAGGTCTCTGGGCCATGTACCCTCTGGCTCCTGGCCCTCCAGGTAGTGTCAGGCATGGGCTCCTCTCGCTGTGTGGGCCTCAGAGATGCATTTCAGTTGGTATTGATCCTTTCATCTCGCTGATGTTGACGTGGGGATGGTAGCACACCTTTGATAATGCAGTGATCCGTGTTCCATAATTTACTGTAGTCTCAGAAAATTTATGCTGTGTTAGATTTGAGAAGACAATTAAGTTAACCATTTTTTAATTTTATTTTTAGGAAATCCTTGCACGAGGAATTCTTCTTCCATTAATAAATCAACTCAGTGATCCTGATTATATTAATCAATATGTCATATGGATGGTAAGTACCTTTTAAAATTGTGACTTGTCTTTGAAACAGGTTTTTAGCAATAAAAATGTAGTTTGGAGATCAGAGTGATCAATCAACAGAATATTAAAGAAATGAAGCTATCTAGTCTCTACATTTCTACTATCTTCTTTAGTATCATGGCGTTACTATTGCTATTTTAGTGATCGCTGTAAAAATTGTAATGAACCACGTTAGCGTATGCATCCAACAGTGCTTCACTCTCTCACATCCAGTGTGAGCTCTGGTCATGTGTGTTATTTCTCTGGCACAGAGACAATTCATCTCGGCTGTGAGCTCCGGTCATGTGTGTTATTTATCTGGCACAGAGACAATTCATCTCGGCTGTGCAACTTAGACTCTCTGTGTCATCATTTCTTTAAAAAAAAATTAAGGAAAAATAAAACTCGAGTACCCACCACAAATGTAGCATTTTTAATGATCTTTATTTTTTATAATTCTAAATATCACTTTGTTTTTATTTTATTCTGAACAGTTTCCTGTAGGATTTGTATAATTTTCAAGATTTATGGGCATCATTGACTTCAAGCTCACTGAACCTTTGCTTATCATAAAATATGTTTTACTGTACGATTCTGGGATATTTCCATTTCCTCTAGAATGTTTGACAGTTTTTAGTGGTTTTAAAGATGGGTGGTTGGAAAAATAAGTTTGTCTTCTTGCTTTCCTTGTTTCTGATGAGAAGTAAGTGTCAGAGTACGACTGTTGTTGTGTTGTTGTGTGTTGTGTGTTGTTGTGGTTCTGGACTTTGGCGGCCCCAGTTCTTTGGCTTCTGGTGCTCTGCTGCCTTTACGTGGCTTTGCCTAGTTGGGAGTGTCTTCTCAGCCACAGTGATTGTGACTATTGCTTAGTCAGTGAATGCCCTGTTGTTCACTGACTGATAGCATAGCTGTGATTATGTCTAATATAGTAGTTGCTGAGTGTGCTGTGGTGAGAGCGTCTGCCCTCATCACAAGGTCCTGGTGCTCATTTCCTCTCTGCACTTACTCTGCCTTGTAGTCTTTGTGGCTGTCCTGTTTTTATATTCCCATCACTTCCACTCTACACAACACTGTCTTAGTGTTGTGGGACACTTTTCCTGGGAGACACAGCATGTACTTGTCTACTGCAGACCAAAGTAGTAATTATACCAAAAGAGCCAGCGCGTCACTGCTGGGACTGCTAGTGGGGGAATGGGCAGAGATTGCTCACAGGGAGCAGGATAGACCACCCCAACATGGTTGACGACTGCAGTTTTTTTAACTGCACATCTTAGAGACAGCTCTGCAAGTCTATGAGAAACCCCTTGGTCTGGGCTAGTCTGTGTTTTTCTTCCTCATCCAGCAGTCAGTGCCTGCTCCATAAAGCTGGAAAGGGTGTAAAGACCTGTCCAAGATGCAGCCTTCCCAGGCATGTGACTGACTTACCTTCCCAGGAGGAAATACCATACCACACCTAGTTATCACACTGCACTTCTTTTATTTTAAATGTTGCCCTTTCTGTCTTTTGCCATTTTGAGTTTGCTAGCTCTGTGACAGCTTCCTTTTTCAGTCCACACTCATTCTCTGCACTTGCTGTGCAGCCTCGTGGTCTTGACTGTCATCTCTGTGTCAGGGACTTGTAACTCACATATTTGCCTTGATCTTCCTGAGTATTGCCTTTCCTACGAAAAAACATACTCAGTGTTAACACTGGACACTTACTAGCTCCCTGGCCCTCTTGTAGTCTGTCTCTGTCTTGCTTCGCAGTGGCTTGAGGGTCACTGACCTTCAGGCCATAGTTTCCAACAGTCGTCGTGGCTTCGTTCCTCACTCTACTCTGATTTGTCAGCCTTCGGTCCTCCTCGTAACAGTCACATGTTAACTTTAAGACCTTGCACAAAGAATATTATCATACTTTTCTTACCAGAGCCTCCACTACTCCTGCTGCATGTGTTACCTGCGCCTTCTCCTTTTCTTCTCTACTTACTGCCTGCGTTCTGTGTTTATGCAGCAGCATAGTATATTGTCTTTAGTCCTATTCTGTTTAAGCCTAGTGACTTAATTTCCTTCAGAGCCAAAACTCGAACCCCTGTAACACTGTAGAATTCTTACCCCGTCTCTGCTGCTCACCTCTGCTCTCAGGCTTCCCTTTCACCTCCACCCACCTTGATCTCTTGCTAACAGCACTCTTTCTGAGCACGACTCTGTGCTCTTCAGTATGTAATATGTTTAGCTTAATCATTTTTGTTAATAGTATGTGACCCATTTTAATATAAGTGCTTGAATGCACTGCTTTTCCTTTTGGTACAGTCTCTTCCTTTGTAGTGGGTGGTGCCTGACCCCTGGTTTCATTCAGTACTGAAATTTTCTCCTAATAAGTAATCCTCTCCTACCTGTCCTTTAAATCTTTATTTTCAGATCCGTGATTCAAATTGCAACTATGAGGCCTTTATGAACATTATTAAATTAAGTGACAATATTGGAGAGTTAGAAGCAGTCAGAGATAAGGCGGCAGAGGAACTACAATACCTTAGATCTTTAGATACAGCTGGTGATGGTAAGTGATTCACTCTGAACAGTGTTCTCTTCAAGGATTATCAGATCCTTAATAATGATTTTAATTTATGTAATGGAATCGTCAACTTCTAGTTTTAAAGCTCAAATTCAGTCTTCCTTCCTGTCCTAACATGTTCTTAGAGTAAATGTGAAGATGATGTTATTGCACTTGTCCCTAAAGATAATAGGTATGACTTATTTGAAAGTAATTGATTTTATGAAAAATTTTACATTGCTTTTTATTGAAGCAAAATTGCTTTATTGATTGTTTTGTAAATAATAAGTGTGTGTTAAGTACTTTTGAAATACCACAACCATTTTTAGCTCCTAATGATTTTTTTCTTTCAGATATTAACACTATTAAAAATCAAATAAATAGCTTATTATTTGTAAAGAAAGTATGTGACTCAAGAATACAGCGGTTACAGTCAGGCAAAGTAAGTATAAAATACTTTTGAAATAATGCCTAGTTGTAAATACTTAACAGCAATTAAAATCTCAGTCTGTGGCAAAACGTCACAGCAGGACTTAAAACGTGTGTGTGTGTACGTACGTATGCTCAAGGACATGTGCAGACTAGAGATTCCTTCCATGATTGCTTTCTACATTATTGTGAGATCGGGTCCCTCACTGAACCTGGAGCTCACCTGCCACTGAGCTCTGAGCCCTGAGAATAACCTTGTATGTATGCTCCCACCCCAGTGTTTGGGTTGCAGATAGAAGTCTGTGTCCAGCCTTTTTATGTGAGTCCTGGGGATCTGAACTAAGGTCCTGAAGCTTGCCTGGCAAACACTTTGCCAACTGAGCTTATTCTTAGCCCCAAAGAAATAGTTTATATTTTAGAGCACAGTGGGTACTTTGTAAAGCAGTTCAGGAAGGCTGATTACAGCACTGCCTGGAAGTCTCCCATCTGCAGTGCTCCTGGCCTGCGGATCTGTGGAGCCGTGGACCTGGGGGGGGGTCCTAAGTGAGAGTCAGTGAAATTTAAATGATGGGAAGGTGAAGCTGATAACTGTGTCAGAAGCACATGGTGATGCAGCATGAAAGTAAGCACAAATCACCCAGATAGTGACCTGATGATGGCTGTTAGAAGCAACGGAGGTTTAATTTGTGGGACTGCTGATGAGCTTATCGAGAGTGATGTGGTAGTGTGTGTAGCGTCAGCACCGCACTGCCAACATCTAATGTGAACATATGTTGGTCTGCTGCTAGCCACGGTGTTTGAGTGAGTCGGCATGCAGACCAGCTGGAGGGGCTGGAGACGCCTGCAGAGGGGATGTGTCCTGCCCTGTCCTCTGCTGCTCTGCTCTGATAAACACTCATCAGAAACAGTCTGAGGAAGGAAAGACTCTGACTTTCACTTCCAGGTTGCAGTCCATAATGAAGAAAAGGCAGGGAGGGCCTGGAGCAGAAGTTGCAAATGAATACTGCCTCCTGACTTGCTCCTTGGCTCGCTCTGCTAGTTCCTTACACAGCGGAGACTGAACTGCCAAGTGATGGTGCTGCCCACAGTGGGCTGGGCCCGGCCACGTGCATCATCAGTTAAGACGGTAGCCAGTCTTTCTGATGTTTGTTTTCTTCATCTGTACAATCAGGTGTGATAATACCTAACAGGATTTCTGTATGCAGCACAGTGCCTGATACCAGATGTTCCTTACATTTTTAACCTTTTCTCTAAAGTTCTCTTTGTAGGTAGCCATCTTGTTCTGTTGCTTTGACTGTGTAGTTCACTATTTATATACTTTGAAAAGAAAGTTTCTTTATCAGTAGTAGAGGTTTTATTCTGTTAAAAGCAGCGTTGCTCTTTGGAAATGGTTTTTCTGCAGGATAAATGCTAATGGAAATGAAAGTAGCGAGTAGTGAGTAGTGATGAGTGGATGAATAGGGGTGCTACTCTAGGCGGCGAGCTCAGGGTCAGCGATAGGCAGAGAGCACCTCCACATGGGGATGAGAAGTAGTCATCCATGAAGCATTCATACATACTCTTCGCTTCGTCTCCTGAAGTGTTTGTTTCACGCTGAATGTGTGGAAATAGAGAATACATGAAAATACAGTGATAAAGGTTATTTTATATTGGGGGCAGTGGCGCTTACTATGTTTTAAGTGATTATTTGATAACTATTTCTTAAAATAAGTAGGGATTTAGAGCCTCTCACCAGAGTATTTTTTTTGGGAACCAACATACATGCAAAGGGGAGTCTTTGTCACATTTTGATACAGTGTTCCATTTTCCTTATATTTCTATAAACATCCGACCCTAATGACTGATGATTAAGGGCTGACTTGTATTCCTTTGTGTCTGTAGGAAATAAATACTGTGAAGCTAGCAGCAAACTTTGGCAAACTTTGTACAGTCCCCCTGGACAGCATTCTTGTAGACAATGTTGCACTACAATTTTTTATGGGTAGGTAAAACTTTATTTAAATAATATAGACATTAATTCTTTTGGTTTTAAATTTGTGATACAATACAAGTAATCCAAAAATTCTAAAATATGATAACTTTTAAGTGTATAGTCCAGTGATATTTAATATCCACAGCCATCTCTCTAAAATGGTTCTTCTGTTATCACTTTTGAAAGAGATCAGTTTCCATTCTTACCACATCCTCTGGTGTCTCCACATTATAGCATATGTCAGAATTTTTCTTTTTTTTCAGAGTGTCATATACATCCACACACATGTTGGCTCACCTCCTCTGCCCCTCAGTACCTTTTGTATATCTGTTTATCCCCATGGGAATCTTGGGTTGCTTTCATCATTTTTCTAGTGAGTGAGTTTTATGTATGCAGAAGCAGCTTTTTGAGATTGTTCTTTCCGTTCTTTCATGTATATAACCGTATGACGACCACTCTACTTATTTCAGAGATTGTTCAGCCAGTTTGTCCTCCCCAATCTTTATCCTGGTTTTCAGAATTTTTTTTATTAATTATCAAAACAAACTTTTTTTTTTTTCATTTTACATACCAATTCCAGTTCCCGCTTCTTCCCCTCCTCCCATTCCCTCCACCTTCCCCTCCACCCCGCCCCCATCCACTCCTCAGAGAGGGTAAAGCACATTGCTTTGAGGAAGGTCCAAGGCCCTTGCTACTATATGTAGGCTGAGCAAGGTACCCATCCAAAGAGAATGGATTCCCAAAAAGCCAGTACATGCAGTAGGGATCAATTCTGGTGCCACTGCCAGGGGCCCCTCAGTCTGCCTCAGCCTTGCAACTTTCACCCCAGATTTTTTCTTTCAGAGTTCCATCAGATAGACCCTGCCAGTACTTCATGGTGGAGTTGTCTTCTCATTCTGATATCTTGTTTGAAGTTTAACAATTTAAAATATTAATGAGGGCTGGAGAGATGGCTCAGAGGTTAAGAGCACTGGCTGCTCTTCCAGGGGTCCTGAGTTCAATTCCCAGCAACTACATGGTGGCTCACAACCATCTATGATAAAATCTGGTGTCCTCTTCGGGTGTGCAGGCATACATGCAGGCAGAATGTTGTATACATAATAAATAAATAAATCTTTAAAAAACTAAGTAAAATAAAATATTAATGAATTTGAATGGCTATTTTTCATTTCTATTTGAGCTCATCTTTTCTCTCTCTCTCTCTCTCTCTTTTTTTTTTTTTTTTTGAGGCTGGGTTTCTCTGTGTAACAGTCCTGGCTGTCCTGGAACTAGCTTCGTAGAACAGGCTGGCCCTGAATTCATACATATTATTTTGTTAATATGACATTGAAATTATTTTTATCTGGTAAACGTAATCAGCATATGTGAATCTTTGAATCATTATTTGTGTGTTCAAAGTCTATGTGGTTTCATACAATGTTAATCTTAATTTTAATATACATAGAAAATTACATTTTATTTCTAATCTTTACTCAGAATAAATAAATGTTGATGAAGTAGTTACTTATATAAAGTTTTATGTAGCATGTTCACTAGGAATTTTATCCTCAAGACATCCCATTTATGCCCATATTCAGAAGGATTGGGTGGGAAAAGACCTCAACTTGCAGGCCAGCCTGAACTGCTCGTGAGATTCTATCTCAAAAACAAATACAGAAAGCTTTCCTGTTTCCCATGTAATTGTTATTTAGCTTAACCAATTTACAATTACTTTTTGACAGAGATTTTTCTAAACCTTTTATTTTTTAATTGTTTCTTATCTTTTGAGATTAATATATTCCATCATTTTCTCCCTCTAAACCCTCTCATATACCCCACCTTGCTCTCTTTCAAGTTAGTGACCTCTTTTTTCATTAATTATTGTTCTGTATGTATCTGTATTTACATATATATTCCTTAATCCATACATGCACCCTGTTCATTCTGTGTGATGTTACTCAGCTTTGTTTTCAGGGCTGACCACTTAATAATAGATGACCAGCTAGTATGCTCTTCCCAGGGGAGGACTGTGTCTCCCAACCTTGGCTCTCCTTAGTCGCCTGTAGTGCTTTCTGTAGGGTTCAGTGAGGGCTTGTGGACTTTCTCTAGTCCACTTAGAGTCTGGATATTTGAAACTACAACCCTTCTTATTTTCAAACAGTAACATGAACCTAAAGCACGATGTTAATAACTGTTATTATGCTTTCGTTTGGTAGATTACATGCAGCAAACTGGGGGTCAGGCCCACCTCTTCTTCTGGATGACAGTGGAAGGCTACCGGGTCACAGCTCAGCAGCAGCTGGGGGTCTTACCACGTCACCAGAGAGACGGGGGACAGCAGACCACCCAGACCAGAGGTCTGCTGAGAGCAGCTGCCGTTGGGATCTACGAACAGTACTTGTCTGAGAAGGTAGGGGTTTACTGTGGTCACTGCTTCTGTCTTAGGCAGTATCATTCATAATACTCGGAATGGTCCTTACTATATTGGGCTTGATGGCTTCAGTGACCCCACCTTGTTTAACCCTAAGGATAGCCTTCCTGCGCATTTGTGTTCTCATTGTTCAGGAGAGGAATCCAGCTTTATAAAATCAAATTAGGATGTCAACATTCATGGAAGCCGAGACTAGTAGTTCCTTCAGATTCAGGCCATGCTAGACAGAAATCAGGAGGATGGAGAGCCTGGCTGCAGACAGAGCTCAGCCGCTCAGCGCTTGTCTAGCTTGCACAGAGCCTTCAGCTCACTCCCAGCACTGTTTAAAAAGAAACGTCAGGTTTTATATTTCTGCATCTGTCGCATATATTTTGAAATGAACATTCTAGTAATAGGTTTATCTTTAAGATTTATTTTGTTCCCATATCACATTGGAACTTTGCCTGCAACATTGGTCACTAAAGTAGATTTTGGATAATGGTAGTCTTTTAATAGACATTCAGAAGGGTTATCTGGTGTCAAATTAGTCAGTCATGTCATACTTACCTAACTACTGATGGCTTGACTGATTTAACTCCTGCGAACAGTGTATCCTGTCTGCCTAACACTGTATAACTATGTCTTAAGTAAATCTTTGTTAATCCTTAATAGTGATTTTGAATGACTTTAGGTAGAATTGTCTCCATTTTTTCCAATTCGGGAGTAAGGTATAGAAAGAGGAAATTTGCTCAATAAAAATCAAGAACAAATCTCTCTGCCAGTGCTAGCAAGATGACTCAGCTGGTGAGAGCACTGGCTGTTCTTCAGAAGGTTTGGGTGCAGCTCACAGCTGTCTGGAACTCCCATTCCAGGTGTCCAGCACCCTGTCCTGAACTCTGTGGGCACTGGGAGTACATGTGGTGCACAGAAGAAATACTTAGACACATAAAAATTCTTTGTTAGTCTTCTGCAACTTACAGGATGAACAAAACACTGTAGCTGTATTTTAGCTTTCTTAACCACTGCGGTGCCATTGGTAAAGCTTCTTGTCTGCTGACGACTTTAAGCGATGTGATCCTGTTATTATCTCCTTTTATCTACTGCTTATATGTAGGAATTACAAAGATCATTATATTTTTCTCTGTTAGGCATCTCCAAGAGTTATTGTTGATGACTATTTAGTAGCAAAATTAGCAGATACTTTGAATCATGAAGATCCAACTCCAGAAATCTTCGATGACATTCAAAGAAAGGTATTCATATTTCATGTTTCTTGAAAGAGTATTTCTGTGTACATACAAGTTTTTTTTTAAGGTTACTAGAAAGGTACTAGAGTTGTAAAAACTCTTCACTGCAGGACTGTAAATGACTATTTTATTTCTTTGAATGACCATTTAGAAAAATCCTTATTTTGGGTTACTTTGTTTAATATGAAGTAAAAGCCAGATACTCATCTAAGAATTCCATAAATAGATATCTGTATATAAAAAAGCATGCTTCAAAAATTTATCTTAATATGTCTTCTCATATTTATTTGTTTCTTAGAAAGCACTACTTCCCAGAGCATAAAAAAAGTCATAATATCACATAACTTTTATTAAGGTAGGAACCTTTTAGTCACTGGAGGGTTCAGAATGTCATAGTAGTTATTAAACCCCTTCTAAGTGATGATATATTATAGAAAAATATCAGTGTAGCTTTGTGATACTTTATGTAGCAAAATCATTAATTAATATGTATTAAGTTTTGAATACCTTGATTATTTCCACAGGTGTATGAACTGATGCTGCGGGATGAAAGGTTTTATCCTTCCTTCAGGCAGAACGCTCTCTATGTGCGGATGTTAGCTGAGCTTGACATGCTAAAAGATCCTAGTTTCAGAGGATCGGATGATGGGGATGGAGGTACGGTGGTAGCAAGTGAGTGTGAATGTGATTGTGTGCTTGTGTGTGTGTGTGTGTGTGTGTGCTTGTGTGTGTCTCAGTATGCATTCTAATAACCAAAAGAATGACTTTTTAAACATGATAGAAGTTGTTTTTAAACCCAAGTGTAAACTGTATTATATTTTAAAGCTTATAAGGAAATAGGAGAGTAAGAATTTTTTTTTTTAACATGGATCATCCAAAATATTTTTCTGATGATTTCCCCTTTGTACTCAGTAACTGTGAGGACTAAGTGAGGAAAGCCGGGCGCTCTGGAGCTGCTGTAAAGCAGTTGCAGTGTGAGCTGTTTGTTCCGTCTCCGTTTCTAGAGCTCACACGTTGTCGGTGCCTTCTTTTAAACCTAGAAAACCCCAGTCATTTTCCCAGCTGCTTACTTCTTTTCAAACGATGATCCTGAGTGATGTGGGAGAATTGTCTGTATTCTGTCAATCATATTTTAATAAAACGCTGATTGGCCAGGCAGGAAGTATAGGCGGGAAAACCAGGCAGGAAGTAGAGGTGATGCAATGAGAACAGGAGAATTCTGGGAAGCAAGAAAGTTCCTCTGCCTCTCCTGTCCAGACCACCGAAGAGGCAACATGTAAGCTGACAGCTGAAAAGGGTACTGAGCCCGTGTGGCTAACATAGATCAGAATAATGGGTTAAGATAAGTCATAAGAACTAATAAGTAGCCTGACCAAATGGGCCAGTCAGTTTATAACCTTATGGAGTCCTGTGTGTGATTTTCTTTGTTGCTTGCCGGCTGTTGGGGTACCAGGAGGGACAGAAACCCCAACAAGCCGGCCCTCATGTTACACCTGAGAGTTACCAACATGTTCTAGTGACATGCACTTGTAAGTGGCAGGGCATATTTAGGTTGGTACTTGGTTCTACGGTTCACTGCTTATGACATATAGTTTATTCATTTTAAGCTTCATTTTTCAGTTGTAAATCTGGAGTACTATCCCATCATCATACAGTAATTAAGTCATCATTTTTAAACAAACTTTTCTGTGTGAAAATGTTTTATGAGTTAAAGCACACACATAAAGGCTGTACAAATGGAACTACCTTGTTTTGGTGGACCATGAGGCCTTCGGACATGAGTTCCTAGATTCAGTGGTTGTTTTTACTATGATTACATTTGGAAACTTTGTTAAGGAGCAATTAGCTATCTAAGATTTGAACGGCTTTCTACTATGTTCTGAATAAATGTAAATTGGAAAATGTAGAACTAATTACATCTTTTGATTATGACCACTTACGTATGCATAGACTTTTGGACAAGACGATTCAGTACATTAATCCACTAGAGTACTCAATCTCTGGCTGTGAGAGTGTAGCTAAGGAAGAGATTATTTTCTGAGTTGTAACACTTCGTAGGAGAGGAGTGGTGGAGCTGTACAGCTTGTCTGTGTTTCTCTGCTTCTGGAAAATGGTAGTTCTTCTGTGGCGTTTGAAAAAGCAGTCTGTCAGCCCACCCTGCTAAAATAACTATTGTAAAGTCTTTACTATTAATTTCATCCATTTGAAAATTATCTTAGTAATTTTAAAGTAGATTTGTTGTGTAACTCGGAATGAAATAAGATCAATTGAGTTATGATCAAGTTACCTAGGTGCTATACAATTGAAGGTACTAATAGAACTTATGTATTCTATGTAGGTAGAATTGGCATGTTGTTTTAACTCACTTTCTAGCCAGTCAGTCCAAACCTTGTACTTATTTTCAACATATATTAGGTTAAGATTGTGAACACACTTCTCTCATGTATCAGTTGTTGATTGACTTCAGATTAAATCACTAATTGTAGTTTGTAATTATATAGTGTGTATGTTTGTGTGTGCACACACGTGTGCATGTGTCATACATATGTGCATATGTCACACCTGTGGATGTCAAGAGTATTGCTTGCAGGTCAGTTCTCTCCTTTCCCCTGTTGCTCTGGGTTTCTAACGTAGCCGTGGCAGTCATCACCCTTAATCTGCTAAGCCATCTGCTTGCCCATGTTTTTGTGTGTGTCTTTTTAGGATAATACTTCATTGCTTTTCTAATACCTTCATATCTTAACTGATAGATTTTTACACTCAGAAAATAATCAATTTTGAAAGCCAGTTTTAAAATTATACTAGAGAAATTGTGTAATCTGCACCATGATTGTAAATGGCTGTCAGCTTTATTGTCTTCTAGCCATGGATTTTAGCCCCTTGGCCTCATCTCTCTATACTGTTACGTAGTTTGGAAACCTTTCTTTGGTGGCAAGACAAGAGATTGCCACACCAAAGAAGGGACAGGAAACAGGTGGTATATTTATTTACTGTAGGAATCATCTGATTATAAACCAAGAATATTTCTCGATGAAATTTCCTGTTTGTTTTTTGTGATCAGAGTTCTGGGGAGCTAAGAAATGTTCTTTGTATAACAAGTTATTGAGAATAGAACTCACTTAGAACTGCACAAGTAGTGTGGTCTATGTGAAGATTCATCTAACTAATCAAATTTATTCATTTACTAAGGCCTGGAAAAGGTATATTTACTTTAAATTGTATGTGAGTAGTATTTTACCATAGCAGAGACACCATAATTGAAAGTTTAATTTGCTTGGATACATAGTAAAACCCAAGGGGAAAGAAAACATCATTGTTTGTCATTAGTGTTAATAGTTGCTACTTACTTGCGAATGTTTGTTTACATTTTTTTTGTTCTTATTCTAACACTTGCATTTTCCCCTCATCAGCACACAGAGTTGTGAGTCTCTGCGTTTCTGTGCTCATTTTTCTCCTGTCTGTCTCTGTCTCTGTCTCTTTAAGCACACGTCAGCAAGCCTAGCTATAGACTTCTAACATTCATTACAGAATTATTTTCTCATCATGATTGCTTAACTAAATGGCATTACATGCAATGATTTCATCAACTAGACTGCGATGTTTTTTGCTGAATTTATGAGGAAACAATGGACAATTAGATATTTAAAAAACCCGTGTATTTGTACCTCACACTGAAGGCTGATACTATTGATATATTTTTAATCCCCAGAGACAGAAGTCAGAAATAATTCTGCAGTTACCTAATGTGCTTCACTCTGAGTTCTTGCCTCAAAACTGAGTCATTCGCATTGCATTAAACAAATTATGTGACACATGAGAGAAGGAACAGAAACAATCACTGTTGTGACTTAGTGCTCACACGAGAGTGTGTGCTCGTCAGGTCTGTGCGGACTTTCATTTCAGGGTTAAGTTGGCTTGGCAGTTGGAGAGCTAAGGGTTAGATATTTAGAAGTGTAAAACAGTTTTATTTTGTTTCTCTGCTTTTTTCGAGCTGTGTTATTGACTTTTAGACCTACATAAAGTAACAACTTTGTACTTTTTTGCTGTGTATTAATCTTTATTTTTCTTTTGTAGAATCTTTTAATGGATCTCCTACAGGAAGTATAAATTTGGTAAGTACTACTTATAGGTACTTTAATTAGTAACATAGCTTGAAAATAACGTGATAGGCTTTTGGTCCGCATAAGAAACATCAAGCTGCCCCACAGAATGAAAAGACAATATGCGTTTAAAGAAATGCTAAGTTTGTAAGACATCGATCTGTAACTTCAAGTTTCATCTTTAAGAAATGGCAATTAGATCAAACCTGCATAGCTGCAGTCGAATTTTATAAAAAAAAACAAAACTGATTTATCCCAAATTGAAGGCAGGGGTATCTCTGTGATCTCAGGGCCAGCCTGGTCTACATAGTTTCATGTCAGCCAAGGCTATATAGTGAGGCCACGTCTTTAAAAGAAAAAAGAAAAGGAATTATTTTTATCATTTTTAAACACTATATTCATAATATTTATCATCCTTAAAGCTTTAAGTCACTTTTCTCTCACTTTCAAAAGAAATAGTAAATTGTTAAATAACTTTCACCTTAGTCACTGCTCTGTTTCTGTAAAGAGACGCTGTGACCAAGGCAGCTCTTAGAAGAAAACATTTAATTGAGGGCTTGCTTCCAGCTTCAGACGATTGATTCATATGATCATGCAGGGAAATTGTGGCATCAGACAGGCAAACATGGTACTGGAGGAGTGGCTGAGAACATCATCTTGATGTGCAGGCCCAGAGACACTGTACCAGGTCATTTCTTTTTGGGCCATCAACCAGCTCCCAAATCTATTACATTGAAACTAATTTGAAATCTCAAATTGGTTTTGAAATCTCAGCCTAAACATAATTTAACCTGTTTGTCTTTATCTACCTTTTCCCTCGAGACTTTCTACCTTCTCTTTTCTTCTGTTTACCTTTCTTTCACTGCTTTTTCTCATGGCTGGCTGGCAACAGCTGCCTGGCTGACTTCCTCTGGGCTTGTTCCTCTCCCCTCCCTAATTCTCTTCTCTCTGGAGCTTAGATTTCTCCTCCTATTTATGCTGCCTGCCAGCCCTGCTTATCCCTCTCCTGCCTAGCTATTGGCCTTTCAACTTCTTATTAGACCAATAAGGCGGCTTAGGCTGGCTAGATGAAACAAATCCAGCACATCTTTACATAGTTAAACACACATCCTTACATTGTTAAACAAATGTAACTCACCTGTACACAGGTAAAGTAATATTCTGCAGCATAAACAAATGTCATCTTTACACAGTAAAGTATTCCAAAACAAGAGACTGGGCCTGGTGTGGTCTTGGGAAACCTCAAAAAAACCACGTGATAGACTTTCTCCAGTAAGACTACACCTGCTACTTCTTCTCAACAGCTCACCAACTGGGAGCTAAGCATGTAAACACATGTACCCATGGAGGACATTCTCATTCAGGCTACCACATATGTATTAGAGTGTGCATGAAAACAATTCAAGTTCTTACAAAAAGGGTTTTGTAGTTAGAATTTTCTGTCAGTATTATACCTTATTATTTAGAGAATTAAAGAATGATAGGTTTTTAGCATATAAACTCCCCTGGCAATAACTGGTTGTATCTTCCATAATGAACATATTATTTCTCCTGAATATCTGCTCTTGCCATTGGGTGACGTGTCTCCTTGAGTACTCAGCTCATAGTGGAGAGAGGTAAAGGATGAGTTTTACTCCCATGTTTCTTTCCTTTTTTCTTTTACATTTTCTAATAAATTCAGAGGTTTGTTGTGACTTGTTTAGAAATCTATTGGAGCTATACTGTTCCTTATTTGGAAATAACCTCATTGAGTAAATGTATAACTTGCAAAACAGCTGAAGCAAAGCAGCTGTAGGCATGGCAGATTCTTTATAACTTCTAAAATGCTTTATAAACGTTTCACTTGCTATATTTCAAAGTGCCATAGCGAAACGGAATTGTTTTTAGAGCATTCAGTGTTAGCAATAATTTACATCATATACATATAAACTTTGCAAACCTTGGAAACTTTTCTCAGTTTGAAATTTTCTAATATTCATATTTATGGTGTTTATACGAATGTTTAAACAGTAATTAAATGTTATTATTTTCTTCATGTCTGAAGTAGGTGCTTTTAGATTTCTCTCTGTGATTTTGGAGCCTGTCCTGGAACTCACTCTGTAGACCAGGCTGGCCTTGAACTAACAGAGATTCGCCGGCCTCTGCCTCTTAAGTGCTGGGATTAAAGGCGCGCACCACCACCACTCAACCAAAAATTTTTTTTAGATTTATTTATTTATTATGTGTACAGTGCTCTGCTGTTATACGTGCCTGCAGGCCAGAAGAGGGTACCAGACCTCTTTATAGATAGTTGTGAGCCACCATGTGGTTGCTGGGAATTGAACTCAGGACCTCTGGAAGAGCAGCCAGTGCTCTTAACCTCTGAGCCATCTTCAGCTCATACATCTTTTAAATTTAGGCTTTTGTGTAGCTGGAGTCACTCAGATTTGCTTTATGATATGAGTCAAATTTTAGTGACTAGCCGAATTTATAAAATAGAATTATGAACTGAACGTAGTTGATTGTAATACACTGAGCAGTGAGATCACTAATGCACTGACTGTTGGCATATGAACCTGTTGAGATTAGCCGGTGAATGACCGCTGCCATCTCCACCAGAGACGGTGGTGCGCTTGTGTTTGCTGAGCTAACAGAAAGATTGTAGCTCCAGCTGGGCACAGGGGCGTCTGCAGACTGTGTCAGCCTGGACAGCAGTCCGTAAGAACAGTGAAGAGGGAGTAAAAAAGTCCAAGTCTAAATTTTGCCATAACATAAAATTAGAAAACAAACAAACAAATGAGTCATTTTCTTTTCCGTGAAGACGATTTAAGAATGTTAGCTCAGGGATTACTATATAAACTGATGATTTTAGGGTGATACTAATGTGCTTGTTTTAAAATCACAATTTTCTCTTCCCAAACAGTACTTTTTCCAAATTAGATGTAACTCTGGAGTTAATACTGTTTTACCATTTAGAGTTTCACAGTCTGGTTGTTATTTACTTATGTATGATAATTGCAGCAGCATTTAGGAGGATTTTTTATCATTTTGTCATATATGTAATATAAAAGGATTATTGTTATGCTTTATTTTTGAAAAATTATTTTGTGAATTTTTGTGCTGTTATTGAAAGAATGTATAGTTTATAAATTACAGGTAGATCTTGGATATGTGAAATTTATTGATTGTGCTATTTCTGTTTAGAAAACACTGTAGTGTGAGCCACAGGAACACTTAAAGCATATGTATTTCACTCCTTTCCTGAATATTTTTACTTTTTCTGTGTCCTAACAAAGGCGGAAATGTTATTAATGCCTACATTTTACTAGAGTTTAACTGCAGAGGGGGTTTTGTTGGAGCCAGATGGCAAAGTGCATGCTCCATCTGCTAAATACCAAATCCTGTACCCAAAAGGAAAATCCAGTGTTGAGATAAGCACCTTGTGCAGACAGGAGTAGGTGGAGAACAGCAGGTGTGTCAGAGCAGTGGGGGTCATCCCAGCTCTGCGCTCCTGGGGGCATCAAGGGAGGACCTTGCAGGCAAGGTCTTCAGAGAGCAGCCTCAGGTTGCCTGGTTTGTTGTCTTTGTGTGTCCTGTCTGCCTTGGAGATATGTTCGTGTTGGGGTGCATATGTATGTGACCAAGTGATTTAAAATATAAGCTTACCAGTTTAATAGTTAAATTAATTGTTGATCAATCAGTAATGATTTTGTTTGTAGCATTATAAATTTTACTAACAAAAGTCTTAGTCTGGACTTACATCCGTTTGCTAAGTAGTCACAATGGCTAATTATTATAATAGTTTTCTAAATACTTTACATATGTTCTCTTTAATCTCACATACCCTGTGAGGCAAGTGTCTTTACCCTCCTTTTGTGCAAGGTAAAATAAGTTAACTGATTATTTCTCAGTTAACAAAAGTGCTAATGAATCTATCTGTCTGAAGTGTATTTCACCATTAAGAATTCTTATTGTAAAGAGTTCTAATTTTTAATTTTCATCCTTTATATTGTCTATAATTGAATGTAAGTTACTGTATGTAGATAAGTAATGAAGAGACTATTGTGATATGTTAAGTTGTTTTTTAGCTTCTTTTTTATTTTGTTTAAATATTACCGGGTCTTGGGTGTGGCCCTGGCAGGCCTCAGGTTCAGGAGCACAGGAGCTTAGCGTCCTTGTCTGGCTCTCTCAGAGAAAGGCAGAGTCTGCTGGTGTAGGTGTGTGGCCGTGCACATGGTGTGAAGCACATGCGAGGAGGTAGTGATGGTACCTTTGATACAGAATGCCTAGTACTTCTCCTGTAAAGCTTATTCCCTAATTTTTCTTCCAGTCTTTGGATGACCTTTCAAATATGTCCTCTGACGATCCTGGCCAGCTTCATGCCTACATTTCCGACACTGGTAAGAGGCCGTGTGCTGCCTACCACTAACGACGGGTGATTGTACATCCCTGTTACCTGCACGTTTAGTATTGCATTCAGCTTGTTTTGGAGTCTTGTTTTCTGATTTTTTTTTTAAAAAAGACAAATTCATTAAGTCCTGTAATGTTTGGTTGCTTATGTATTTGGATGTTTTCTTCTCTAAGGTTGCCACATTTGAAAATGCTTACTTTCTAAGCATTTTATTGTTTAAAGTAAATTCCAGAACCAGTCTTTTCCTCTTTGTACTTGATTCTTGCTAACAGTCCCTTTCTTAATTCCCATTTCTTTCTCACAGAGCTCTCAGATCTGTATTTGCTTTCATGCCTCAAGAGTTGGCAGAGATAGTCGGGGCAGGTGGAATTTGTGCACATTTCTCATGGACCCTCACAGATTGTGATAGATAGTCTATCATGGTGCTGATGGTGTTTTCATGGCGGTTCCTCCTAGAGTGTAGGAGCGAGGGATTTTCTACACTTAATGATGAATTATACAGAGATTCATGTCTCAATTAAATTTCATTTAATTTACATTTGAGATTTTGAAAAGAGATTTTGACATATAATTATAGTTTGAAACATAATGATCTGCATTTTAAAAAATGACTGTTTTCTTATACTCAATGAAGCGAAAGATTCGATTCTCCTTTTTCTGCTAGATTTCTGGAATAAGTTACCAGTCAGTGGATCCTTCACTTTTTACATGTAGTGAATACACACGTTAGTTTCTTTGAGGATGTCACTAGAGAACACATTGTCAAAGTAGAGGTCTGGTTGTTTTTCCTTTTAACTTTTAAAGCACTTGTCCGACCTTTTTCTTCCATAAATTTTTAAAGAATTAGAGAAAGTCTTCATGTTCTTTCTTGGCTTGTCTTCTAATTTTATGAATGTCTTTTCATGTAATAGACATTTTTATTTCTTAGAAATATTAAATTTTATGTCTAGAAGAGAACATTTGTGTTCATATCTCTGGTGTTAATATTTTTCTTTTTAGGCTGTCCTAAGTTTCTAGTTGTTTTATCAGTTTTTTTATTTTTAACAATATATTCTCTAAATGCGTGAAAGCATAAAACAAAACGTTTTTTTTTAGTAAATTGCTTTTTCCCTTGTTCAAACGTACAGAATTTCTGGGGAAGTAGTATTGCATTGTGGGATTAAGAGCACAGCTCTTGACCAGTTGCCGGGCTCCGACTTCACTCTGTAGCTCTAGTTAGAGGAGCTCCTGTGAGGTCTCTGCTAGAATTTCTTGTCCTGTCAAGTGGAACCTTGGTAGAAATCCCTCTCCCTGGATTTCTATGTGGGTGTATCTAACTACTGGTAATGGCTTATGTGTGACAGGCATCATTTTTGGGTGCTTACTTATTTATTTTTCCAACTGGACACTGATCCATGATCTCATGACCTTAGCATTCTTGTACTGAACATAAAACTACAGTTCAATGCCTTGCTACTCTAAGACTGATCCATGACCTCCAGTGTTTTCTTTTTCTCCCCAAAATTATCTGTTTTCTGAATTTTAAAGACAACAACGTCATTATTCTTGTTGTTGTTCGTGCACCTGGGTAGTCTCTTTTCCCTAGCCGTTTGTGACACTCTTGATTATCCTTTAAAAGTGCCTTGTTACATGTTCACTGTCTCTTCTGATCTTCAGTGTCTCCTTGTTCTTACTAATTCATAATTGGCTGTAGTGAGCTGCCGGATTGGCTTCCACGCTATCTTTTTCACACAGCCCTTGAGGACAGTTAATAAAGCCAATCCTTAATTGATCTGGCCACTGTGTTTTAAAAAGCCAAATCTTTAGCTTGATGAAAAAGTCATTTATTATTTGATATGGCTGAGTTTGTAAGAAGAGCAAGTTGACGGTAAAATGTGAGCATTGTATACAGCTAAAATGTGTATGTAGAATGTGATGACCAGAGTATTTCTGTTACTAATATTATCATCAGTATAATTATTATTGGCCAAATAAAATATATTGATAATATATGTAAACGTAAGGAAAGACAGTTTTAAATAGTAAGCACACATTTTAGCATGAGACTTTGTTCATATATATTTGCCAATGTAGATATCTACTTCCATGTTATTAAAATAATTAACTAAGAAGATATATAGAACTCCTTTGCAAGAGGATTTGAAAGACAGCAAGACATTTAGTCAGCTCTAAAACCTCTCTATCGGTTTTTTTCACAGTGAATCATTGTAATCTATCTTTATATCAGTCTTAGAGTTTTGGTTAGTATAGCAGCCTAAACTGCCACAATGCCTTCCACATATGGCCATGTTGTAAAAATAGCTGAAGAAGTGTACAGGTGCCATGGCCATGAGGAAAAACAAGTCCTTGGGAGTGAAGAAGCGGTGATGCCCAGCAAGACTCACAGTAGCATAAAGATCATTGTCCTGGTTTTGATGGCCTTTTTATGCCCTCAGTTTAGGAACAGCAGAACTGTGCCATTCAGTCAGTGGTGTAGAGGACAGATTGAAACAAGAACTAGGAAAACTTAATTTAGATTCATGTCTGAAAACTGAGAAATGGAAAGTCATAGTCGGGAATGGTATCTGATAGCCCTCTGAAGTAAAGCGCCAGTTATGTGCCTCCATGAGTGTCTGCATCTCACTGTCCTTGTCATTACACACACAGCATCTCAGTGCAGAGAGAGTTAGTGTAGCTGGCCTCCAGAAGTCTTCAGATAGCAAACCATCCACAGATGCTCTGTTGTCTTACATGAGATCATAGAGTATCACGTGTGACCTGTGCATATACTCCCATGTGTTTTATCATCTCTAGACTGGAAACCCAGTACAATGAAATGCTATATAAACAACTGATGTACTGTGTTGGCTCGAGAATAAGAACAAAGATTTAAAAAAATCTCTATGTACCAGTACAAGCACGTTTAAAAGCTATCTTCAATTCAGTTGGCTCAATTGAAGTGTACAGAAGGCCAGCTGTGAAAATTAGTTAGAGTGGTAACAGCTTTCCTTGTGCCTTCTTTCATAAGCCCAGAGCTCTGAGATGCTGAGCTTGAAAGTGGATTTCAGAAAGCAGCTCCAGGAGGAAACAGGAGCCACAGTAAGGAAAGTTGTGTTCTTGAAAAATCAGAAATGACAATCTTAATAGTACGTAGATATATTGAAAATATTCAGGAGAATAAATCCTAAAGTAAGCATGAAGAAAAGAACCAAGGAGAGAACGTAAAATAAGAAATACAGTGGCTGAAATTCAGATGAATGCCCAGCTAAGAACTTGACTAGAGGGGCTAAACTTCCTAGTTGGCTGCCACATATGCAGTATTATGAAAATGACGGAAAGAAGTGTGAAGGTGCCATGGGCTCTGAGGAAAAAGGATGGCTCAGTTGGTAAAGTGCTTGCCACAGAAGCATGAGGGTTGTCACTTGTAGGATGTCCCAGCATCCTGTCAAACCTTTGCAGTGCAGTATACCCTTGGAAACCTTGCTGGGCAGGTGGAGAGCGGCGTATCCGTGGGGCTTGCTGGTCAGCTAGGTTAGTCAGTTCTGTGAGCAGCTCCAGTGAGAGACTGAGAAACGTATTTGAGGCTGGTCATTAGCTTCTACATGGATGTACACACATGCTTGCACTACTGCAGGTATATACACACTAGATACACATGAGAAGCACTGAAGTTTTGGAGACTTAGAGCAGTGGTTCTCAACCCGTGAGTCAGGACCCTTTGGGTGTTGCATATCAGATATCCTGTATATCATATGTTTTCAGTATGATTCATAATAGTATCAAAATTAGTTATGAAGTAGCAACGAAGCAGTTTTGTGGTTGGGGTCAGCACATGATGAGGAACTGTACTAAAGGGTTGCAGTGTTAGGAAGGTGGAGAGCCTTACTGAGCTAGAATAAAACAGGAAGCTTAGAAAGAGAAGAGCTTGACTTAGAGTTCTGCTCACTGACTTATGGTGTATGGGAAGTTAGTACGATGAGGGCTGCTGCTGCTGCGAACTTTCCAGAATAAGCTCCACTTGTGAGTTGTTGGATGTAATTGTTAGTTCTGAGGAAAGAATTACCAGGAGATGAGCCTTACCCTTTGGCTTTTTTGTTGTTCTTTAGTTGGACAGGTTTTAGTTAACTGTAAATGAACAGTAAAGGCTATTGTTATGTTTCTGGGGTTCCTGGTATATGAAATTTAGGAGACCCCACTGCTTCAACTCTGAGTAGTACTGTGGCAACATTCTTAATAATGACTAAAAGCTCTCAGGAAGAGCTGCAGTGGCCGCTGGCATCACTAGACTTTACCTTGTCTTACGTTGTAGTTGTTAGAAGACCGTGAACTTGTGAGTACAGAGCATTGGAATCTGTTTTATCCTGATGCCATTCTTTCATCTGTCATTTCAAATTCTTCATTTCATGGTGTCTTTTTTGTTTGTTTTTGTTCTTCATCTTCCTCCTTTTTGTGTCTTTTGTTCCTCTTCATTTTGTTTGAAATGACTAGTATATGCTGACTATGACCCATATGCTGTGGCAGGCGTTTGTAATGATCATGGCAAGACATACGCGCTGTACGCCATCACTGTACACCGGCGCAGTCTAAACACTGAGGAGATGTGGAAAACCTACCGGCGTTACAGTGACTTCCATGACTTCCACATGAGAATCACTGAGCAGGTAATGAGGTTTGTAAAGCCTGTGGCCTTTATACTGTTTGTTGGTTGAGCTTTGGATCTACATTTCTCTAAGAATGTTCACATTGTATAAAGTTAATGAGAGAAAATAAATATAAAATTTATATTTTATATAAATGGCATAATTGGTGGCATGATTTTAAACAGTGAACCACTAAATGAGATGTAGAAACTTGAACCAGTCTAACTCATTGCGGAGTAACAACTGAGCACCAGTGGTCTTGAAACTGGAAAGGTTTGGACAATCTGAGAGAGAACAAGTGGATGGAGGGAAGAGGGATCTCTGCAGACGTGGTGGTTTGCAGAGGAGAAGACTGCTAGGACCATCTGAACACGGTGGTGGGTTTCAGAGGCATAACTTAGAGCTACAGTTATTTTGAATGGTACTTGCATCAAACAATGTTGCTGAAACTTGGGGACTTCAGTTATTTTGAACCACAGTCTAAAATGAACCTGACATTAACCAAATACTGTTTTAAATTCTTAGTAAGTTTAATCTTGTTTTGTGGAAGAAACTATAAAGACTTAAAGTTGAATGAAAAGAAACTGTTTCTGTTTATTATTTTTGAAAAGCTATTTTTTCTTCTCCTTAGAACAATATCAGATGAGAGATGGAATAGGTAATGTGTGGATGTTTTACCCATTGAAAGTCTTTGATTGATCAAAATATTAGTTATATAAGTAGTATCAAGCCAATAAAGTTAAGATAATGCCTAATAATTTTAGATAACATTGTACTATAGAAATAAGATTTAATATATTTGAAAAAATATGGTTGGTACCATGATAGTCTCATTAAACTATTTAGCAGATAGAGTAGGATAAACTAAGAGCTTTGAAATTATTAAAAACAAGAGGTTGTTGATCAACTTCTCAATTGGTAATAAGACTGTTTTTAATGCAATAAGTAATTGTCTTTGTGCATGTCTTTTCATTTATATTTTTCTGTGTTAATAGATCTTTTATGAAGGACTCTCCAACTCCCATTGGAGAAAAGCTGTTTACTCTTATGTATCAGATCATTGACTAAAAGCAGGCAGCTCACATAGCTCTTTTGTGCACTTGAACTACTCATAAGTGTATAAAAACTACTAATGACCGGAAGCAGTTTTACTTAGTGTGCATTGGTGGGAGTTGGGTTTACAGGGCATATTTTCTGTGGACAGATAGTTGTAGTTTTTCTCTTAGCACAAGTAAGTCAGTAGTACTTAAAAGTGAAATGATTTTAAAATTGCTTTCATTTTGTTTAATTTAATGAGTAATATTTTTTATCAATATAAGTAAATGAACATTTTCTTTAAAGACCTTAATAAATAGTCTTTATGGACAGATCGATAAAAGTTAAAAATTTAGTGTAATATTCATTTTAAAATGGCCAGAACTGTCCATTCATCTATTTGGAAAGATTAATTAAGTTTCTCTTATGTACCCGGCTCTTCCCAGTTCTAAGGAAATAGTGAAGCAGACAGGCAGCGCCGTTGCTCTGGGAGTATACAGTCCTGTAGATAGCGTGCGTCATGTCTGCATGGGTGCACAAACAATGGTGCCAGCGATGTGATTAAAGATTCGTTTACAAGTGAATAAGGGGGTTATGTGTTTGAGAATGAACACATTGTGACTTTTTTAAATGTAGCTTCAAATCTGCTTCAACAAATTTCTAGTGGTGTATTAAGACTCTAGACCCAATATGTTTAATGTTAAAAGATAAAATCTTTGAGCTTAGAGTGTCTGGTTTATATTTGGTATATGAGTTCTTTATAGAGGATATTCTAATTTAATATGCATCAATTTTTACTTGTTTGGACATTTTTCTATTTTTCAAAATATTGCTTTATGTGTTTATAACGTATATAAAATTTATTGCCTTTTCTCATTACAGTAATTTAGAATACTGATGTCCAGGCAGATAACAGAAAGGATTGTGTCCTTAAAATATAGACTTTCTATTTTGTGATGTTAAGATATTGCTGTTATTTGTTATTATTTTAAAGTTTATGGAAATATTCTTATTTTAATGACTGCTGGCATTTTTGTTCATAAAATACTCAGACTGCATAAATCACATGATGGAAATAATTCTAAAAGCTGGAAGCCTGAGGTCCAGGGTTGACAGGTTTGGCTTCTGAGGTTTCCAGGTTGTCTCAGACAAGGCCATGGCCTCTCCCAGTATGTGTGCATTCCTGGTGTGTGCTGTCCTCCCCTGAGGATGGCAGAGTCAGCTCGACTTAGAGCCTGCTCCAGACTAACTTAGTGACCTCTCTAAAGGCCTAGTCTTGAACATATGATTACCGTGCAGGACCTAGAGACAAGTCCTTCAGCATGTGAACATGGGGAAACAGTTCAGACCCTTGCACTTGGAAAGAAAGGAAGCCGAGTGGGTAATTTAGAGACATATGCATAAATAATATTTAGGAAGTTGTCTATCTTTTAAAATAGCATAAGGCTGTTGACTTCCACGATGTAATTTTTTTTAAAAAAAAGGTTTTATTGATGCACCAGACAGCCTGTTTTACATATTGTATTCTATGAAGACTTATTTCTTCTAGCTTACTTATAACCAGATTTGTGAGTTTCAACTTATTGTCCCTGTGCATTTTTTCTTCTTGATAATGACTGATGCAAAGGAATTACTTTGTGTATATAATGTGCAGTGAACAGGTTCATGTTCTCGCTCCAAACAGCCATTACATATTTCGCTGTGTCAGTGTGTCAGAATCTTCCAGTTTGAGTTGCAAATGATTCTGAACCTCATTTTCTCTCTCTCTCTCTCTCTCTCTCTCTCTCTCTCTCTCTCTCTCGTCGGCAATAGGAATTAGTTTTCTTTATTGAGATAATGTAGTTTTTATAAAGGATGGTTTTAAAAACTTTGCTTACTTCTGTGTATTTAATATGGAATGAGCAAGGGACTGCTGAAGCTTCAGGTACTGGCATTTGGCCGGGCCATTCCTAGTCCAGTCCTGCTCTTAAACCATTTTAACAAGCACAGTACTAACAGCTTGTGTTGGAGAAGGTGCGGTAGATTGCTGTCGTAAACATGAAGATGCACCCAAATGTTAAGTCTGTAACAGCTAGGCTGTCAGATTGCTTTTTCATAGTGTAATCCATGATGAGGAAAAATTATTAATGCTTATTGTAGTTGTATACAGAACTGTAATACAGTTGCTGCCTATACTTAATAATTTGTCTTTTCTGCTTTTTAAAGATATATATTACAGTGATTATTTTATTGTCATTAATATTAGATTAGTTTTTATGAGATTAGCAAGCCATAATGTCATAACTTTGGTTTTAAATTTTAAATCTTTAGTACTCTGTTCATGAGTCAAATGGTTGCTAAGTACTAGCTTTACTATGAAATTGTGAATAATCTGAAAATTAGAATACCAAACTGAGACTTCATATGGCAAATGCCTATTTTTATCAGTTACCCGCCTTCGTTATTCTTTGCCCGATATTCTTTATTATAAAAAGGGTTACTATCTTTTTGGCTTTGGGGACAAGATTTTTGTGATGTTTTGTTTAATGTAAGAAAATATAACCTCAAATGATCTGAAGATACATTTGACATGTAGAGAAATTGTTATGTGGCAATCATTTCTCTTAAAAAGAGAACTTTCGAATGTATTTTGTCTTGTAGTTTGAAAATCTGTCGAGCATATTGAAACTCCCTGGTAAAAAGACTTTTAACAACATGGACAGAGACTTTTTAGAAAAGAGGAAAAAAGATTTAAATGCCTATTTGCAGGTAAGGCCATTTTCCTATTTCCCATAGATTTCATTCACTATGATACAAACGTAGAGTAGATATTTCCTCCTTGAGTTAGTTTGGTATAGCATGTGTTTGGCATGCTGTGACCCTGGGCTCTGTCTCCAGCCTATTTAGCAGTAAGAACGAAACACAGCTGAGCATTTTGGCTGTAATAGTGGACTAATAATCAATTTTGAGGAGTGTATCAAATTGACATGTAGTCTTTTAAATAGTTTATTAACTATTTCTGTATTTATTGGTAAACTTAAATGTTTACTTTTAAGCACCAAGACTTGTTTCTTTATGTTTAGATGAGTATTTGTAGCATGTTTTTTAGATTATTGTATGTATATACATCATATGCCATACCCAACAGTTAAATGCTACCAGTTCAATACATAGTAATTTTTCATGTGACCACGAAAACCAGTACAATTTTTTGTTCTCCAAATAGTTCAAGAGAGAAATAGAACTGAATATGCTTCTTGGATCCATCATCTTGGTCATAAAATTTCCTCATAGGAAACAGCAAAACATATTTTACATGTTACATATTGCACAGGCTTGTAGAATGCCCTGAGATGCATTTTACACGTGAATACGCAGAACCCAGGTGGAGTTTACCCTAGTTAGTGTCTCAGAAGGACACCCCACAGTGGACAAGGACACCCCACAGTGGACAAGGATACCCCACAGTGAACAGTGTCCCATTACTCAGCTCATTGTCTTCTGCAGGAGGGTTAGCAGACTGCAGCCAACAGAGAAGCTCCTGTTTGGGAGCAAGGATTTTTATCTGTTGCCTGTAGTTGTTTTCTTTCTTTTCCCTTCTTTCTCTCCTTTCTTCTCTGCCCCTTCCTCCCTCCTTCCTTCCATCTTCATAAGCAGGAGACTTGAATAGTTATGGTAGGGACTCTTTGGTCATAACCTACATAATTATTATATGGCTCTTTTAGAAAAAAAATCTTTTAGAAAAATATTTAGGAAACTCCCCTTAGAATCAAGTGAAATTTAGAAGACAATAAACTGAATATTTTGTTTAGAAGCGTTTCCTTTAATGTCTTCTCTTAAATATTCACACGTGTGACTAGCTTTGCTTATTCTTACTGTTGTCTCTACTGAAAGGACAGGAAGAGAAGGAAGTAAAGGGGCATCCGCTGACCTTCGTTTTCTCCTAACTCGAAACTGAATGCAGGAATGCTGTATTTCTAAAACTCTTCTTAAACATTTTGCCTGAAAAATACTCAGTTTTGGTTCTAGTTTATGTTTGTACCATTAATGACTTTCCCAAATGAAGTATTATTAAGTCTATTTTTGACGGTGTCTCTACTGTATACTTTTAACTCATGTATCACACCTTGTGGTATAGAACGAACTAAGCTAGACTGTTAATGTTCATTAGCATTTGTGTAAGCAGTATTTTGTTTTGTACTTTTAAATAACACTTGAAAGTTATTATTTATATATATCATAAAATTTTGCTTTCATTAATGTTAAACTTTAGCATAATTATATAAACAACACAAGTTTTCTAATGTGTTTGAATTGTGGAGTCAGAAAATAAAGTATTTTGTATTCTTAAGTTATAAGATATCTTACATTGTAGAATGAAATTATAAACAATCTTTCCCCTATCTTACCATCCTGAACTACCTTCTTTTCCCCATTAGCTACTCTTAACTCCTGAGATGATGAAAGCATCCCCAGCCTTGGCACACTGTGTGTTTGATTTCCTTGAGAACAAAGCCTACAGTAAAGGGAAAGGAGATTTTGCTCGTAAGGTAAGCATGGTGTTAAATTTCCTTTTCAGATATTCTTTCATCGCTCCTTTTTAATAAAAGAAAAATACAGATTTACACGTTTTTTCACAAAAAATTGGTAAGTCTTCTGAGATAAAAGAATTTTATGTTAAATAAAGTCTAAAGACCCTTCTAAGTAGCCATTAAAGAGTCTACAAGCATTTTGTGAGGGTTTTCACAACTTTACTTTTGTCCATTTTTTTAAAAAAAAAATCTGTAGAACAGCTCCTAGAACAGATGCCACTCGGTCTTTCTCTCGGTTTGATGTCCCCTTTTATCTGCTGTCATATTGTGACGTGAGATCATTTTTTACCCATAGCAAGAAGTAGCAATTTCAGTCAAAATTCCAGTGTGTGTTGTGTTAGTAGAACAGAGAGCTGAGTAGAGCTGGCAGCCTAAAAAAGAGGCAGGTGTGTAAGTCACATGTGCCGAAACTGGCCCTCCGTGGTTTACTCTTGTGCCTCTTGATTGGAAAGTTTGTTCTTGTCTGTTTTCAGAACATTTCAGAATATTTTTTTAGTTCTGTTTTTAAAAAAGTCTTATATTTGTAAAAGTAGTCATGGAGTGGACACTTTTGAATTTCTCTGTAGTAAATATTATATTAGAGAGCCACAACTTTCTCTTTAGTTGCATGTTTATAAATTTGATACTTGATAGATATTCTCCTAAGGTCCTATTTTTAGGATTCTGCATGTCAAACTGGACATGGTGGCACAGGCCCTAAGTACCCAGGACTCAGGAGGCAGAAGCAAGCAGATCACTGAGTTCAGGTTATCATGGTCCACAGAAAGAGTTCCAGGACAGCCAGTGCTACACAGTGAAACCCTGTCTTGGAGAAACAAAACAAACAGGAATTATGAAGATACATTCTAAAGTACACTAAGTCAACAGGTGTGTGTATGTGTGTGTGTGTGTTTGCGTGTGCGCATGCGCGTGTGCGTGTGCGTGTGCGTGTGTGTGTGTGTGTGTGTGTGTGTGTGTGTGTGTGTAATGTTTAATGCAATGGCATACTATTGACAAGAAAATCATTTTGTCTTCCTATGGTAGTACTCTATATTTTCTTAGGCTCCTGAGTTGTGTAACTGATCTGAATATAATTTCTGTTTTGCTTTAGATGGACACTTTTGTAAATCCGCTTCGCAACTCTATGAGGAATGTGTCAAATGCAGTCAAATCCCTTCCTGATAGCTTGGCGGAGGGAGTGACAAAAATGTCTGACAACGTAGGCAGAATGTCTGAGAGGCTGGGGCAGGACATAAAGCAGTCGTTCTTTAAGGTAAGCAGCTTCCCAGTGCTGTGGAAAGCACACTGTTGTCCTTATCACCTATAGTGTGTGCTGCTTCCCCAGACTGCCAGACAAGGACCCTAGAAGAGAAGAGCTAAAGGGACAACACAAACTGACACTAAGAACTCTCTCATCAGTCTATCGTAAAATTTTAAAAATTCATTTACAGTAAATATTTAAATTTAGCAAAGTTAATATTTTGCATCAACTTACTACACTGGGCTGTATTGATTCTCTAATGGTATAGATTTCTTTGCAGATAAATAAGTTGTATTTGCAAATTAGTTATACTTAATATTCACAGATATAGAATTTAATGTATTCTTTTATCCTGATTCAAACAGTGGAGACCCATCAGGTCAGTCAGGAGAGGTCCTCCCCTGCCAGTGTGGTGCTGTGCCCTGTGTGTGCCCCTGAGCCATGTGGTCACAGGAAGCTTTCTTGTTACATGCCGAGACCTCTATTGCATCTCTCACTTACACTCGTAAAATCATGTTGATGTAGCTTTTTTAAAGTATGTTATCAGAGCTTTAAAGACAACCCATAAACCTAACACTTGAGTTATAAACTAATTCTATGTGAATCTGAATGACACAAACACTTATTTGTTGAATGAAGGTTTTTTTTCTTACTGGTAGAGGCATTTCCTTTTCCGCTAGACATCGTACTTTCAGTGGCCTTTGTCCTCATGGTAGTTGTGGAAAACTGAAACGTGGACTGAGTGGCAGTACTTCTGCTGGCACAGGACATCTGCAGATTCCCCAGGTTTTAAAATACATGGTCAGATGTTTTCCCTCCTTCCTGCTCATCAAATAATTGGTTAATTGCTTAAACCTGCTAATAAGCTTTCCAGGGTTCTTAGAAAGAGCAGGCTGGAGCTCTGCTCCCTGGCCATCCCCAGTGCAAAGTCTAGAGTGTTCAACTGTTGATATTTGCACCAAAGTCGAATCCAGTGCTGGCCTTTCTTTGCTTTGAGTTATGATGGTGTTGGGTTAGTTTCCTGGGTGCTATGTTAACTTTTTATCATTTTAAATGTACAGGTGCCTCCTTTAATTACGAAGACTGATTCGGATCCTGAGCATTGTCGAGTCTCAGCTCAGCTCGATGATAATGTGAGTTCATCTGTATTCTGTTTTTCTATTTTAGAATAGGGTGGCAGAGTTTTTAAAATAAATGTGCGTGTTTCATTCATTCAGATTCCCATGTTGAGTTAAACATGGTGAATTCTTAGGGACTGAACATGTTTCTGATATCAGCACTCTTCATTTAAAAACAAACCAACAAATCCCAGAAATTACCAGGGCCTTAGAAACCACTGTCCTCCCGTGCTAGTATAACCTTGGATGTATCGCTCTCCTTTAGCCCTGGTTTTTATACTTTATACTTGTGAATAGACGACAAAGGTGGTGCTCTGTGGCCGGTGTTGCTGCTCAGCTCTGTGATGGTCTTCTGTGCTGTATCCTTCAGTTGTTCTTTCTTAGAGTTTGTGTCTTTGTAGGATGTGTACTTGATCTTATAAGTTTGTATATGGGATTATGCATAGAACTCTATGGACATTTTAATTCATATCTTAAAATTGAAAAAGATAAATACACATTCTTCCACTTAGAAATTCAATTCCTGAGTCAGAAAATGTATATAAGTTATATAAATTAAAAGTTAATATGTGCTACTAAATACTTTTCCAAAACTGATTGTACCATTATCATTCTCACCAGCAGTATGTGCAAGTTTTAATATTCTGCATTCTGCAGAGAGCCAGTGTTTGTTTCTGTCATTCACCCTTCCCATGGTCGTACTGACATAGACGCCCATTCAGTGACCTGTTTGTGGGTGTCTGAATCTTTCACTCATTTTCCTATTGGCACAGTTATCTTTGTTTTTGTGTATTTTATTAGTATGATACAATCTGAGTATGAGTTCTTTGCTGTGTACGTGCGTGCATGTGTGCGTGCGTGTGCACATGTGAGCCCCATATGTAAATTTATCAACATTAGGGTCACAGTGATGCTGCCCTGTGGTTTTCCTTTACAAATCCTTGCTTTACCATGGCAACATTTAAATTTGCACTTCATCTCTGATTATTGTATGTGTGGATTGGGTAAGCATTCAGCTGGCCTACGCACCATTTCCTGGAAGCTCATCTTACCCACTGTTCTGTTTCCTTCCATATGTTTATGTGTGATTTCGTTTTTGTGTGTTTTTTGGTTTGTTTATGGGCTCTGGTCTCTTAGGCAGATTTATCTTAAAGTAACAGTTTCACTTTTCAGTTTCCAGATAGATTAGTTTATAATAAACTGTCTTGATTATTATTATTATTATTATTATTATTATTGCTTCAAGATTCTTTTGGAAAATTTCATGAGTTTAATATATATTATCTGTAACATCTTTTATTATGTTGATGAATTTTATAGTTTAATGTTTTTTATAATGTCTTTTCAGATTTATGTTGTCATTATCTTCAGATAATTTAGCGGTATTTATACCACAGTGATGAAGTGTGTCGTTCTTCCCTCTGCTGTATCTAAGTTATAATCTGTCCATTTGTGGCATAGAAACTACACTAATCAGTGCTTGTAACACAGTAGTGAAAATGTAAAATCCTTGCCTTTTATCGTTATTTAAGGTGCGTAATTGATCAGGAAGGTGGTATCAAACTGTTGAAAATTTTAAAATGGCCAGCAGTTACGTATAGTCTTTAGCCAGTAACTGTTTTCTACTGGCATGCATAATTTTTCATGTGAAAGCATTCCAGTTGGTTTTTATTATTATTTTGCACCGTTGGCTGAAGACTTTCGTGATTAAAGTACATTAATTTATTTTTTCTTTTTTAATTGATAAAAACTTTCCAGATAGCATATTCTGATCCTGCATTTTCCTCCTCCATCTTGTCCCAGTCTTTCCCACAATCCACCCACCCAGTTCTACCACCTGTGTTCCCTTTCTTTCTGCATAAGACAAACAGGCGCCCCTTGTGGTGGTGCACACCAGTAGGGTTTGCTGAAGGAGATGGAAGCAGGAAGATCACGAGTTCAAGGCCAGCCTGGACTTCACATTAAAAAAAAAAAAGACCCAGAATTTTTAAGAAGAAAAAAACCACAAGAAGCTCACACATGCACAAAACGATAAAAACATAAAATTGGAAATCATATTGTACAAAAAAAAAGACCAGTAAGATAAAAACTGCCTAAACAGAGCAACATGAGACTAAAAGTCTTCTAAATATTATATTAACTTGTAGGTGTACTAATTACATTCTTTTAGGTTTGCTAATTGCATTACTAATTAATTATTCCAATTATATAAAGTATGCTAATAGTAATAGCATAGTATTAACTATGCCACTTAAGGCATAAAATTTCCATAAAAATTATATGTTTTATAATGATAGTTTAATTATTTACTGGGTTGTACTTTAACTTCTTTTTTCCTGAAAATAGTTATATATATGTTTGTGTGTAAAAACTATATATAAAGCATTAATTAAGCAAAATATATTCTTTTTCTGTTTCAGCTGTTAAATATAGATAATAAGAATACTTTTCTTCCTTCTTTTTTTTTTTTGTTTTAGAATCAGATTTTTTTCTGTGTAGCCCTGGCTATCTTTGGAAGTTAGAGATCCACCTGCCTCTGCCTCCCAGGTGCTGAGATTAAAGGTGTGCACTACCATTGCCCAGCCAAAATATTTTTATTTTATGAAAAAATAGTTTCAGAAAATTATTATCAATTTTAATATTATGTTCTAGACTGCTAACAGCTAGAACTAATTTATATTTCTATAAGATTATCATCATGAATCCATTTTGAGAAGAGTTTTTTAAAATTCCAGCCTTAGAAATTACTTAACATTGCAGGGTTATAAAATTCTAGTATGTAGAGCTGTCATATGTAGGCATATTTTCCCTGAGTTAAAATGCTGTGTTAGCTTCTGAAGGCTTTAGTGTGACTTTTTCTCTGGCACCTCCAGTGGTGATGTTATTCAATACAATAGTCATTTACAGGCTGAAGCTCACCAGTTGTTCTGGGTTTTCTTCTCTTTTTTTTTTTCCAGGTAGATGACAATATTCCACTTCGGGTAATGCTTCTTCTAATGGACGAAGTGTTTGATTTAAAAGAGAGAAACCAGTGGTTGCGAAGGAATATCAAAAACTTACTGCAGCAGCTGATTAGAGCTACGTATGGGGACACCATTAACAGGTAGCCACTCCCTGCTTTGCTGTGAAGAGCCCTGTGACTAGCCTTAAACTTCACTTCCGTAAGGGAATGGCTCAGTCATTATCAGGGACTTTTTTTTTTTTTTTTTAAGATCATTAGCTCCCTCTTCTCAGAAGCAGCTTATCCCCACTCAGAGTGTTGCTGTGAGACTTGTAGTAGTTTTATTTGCCTGCTAAGACTTTAAGATTTCTCATTCAAATTTCTTTACTTCCAGAAAAATAGTTGACCATGTTGACTGGATGACCTCTCCCGAGCAGGTAGCTGACTCAGTGAAGCGATTCAGGTATGTCTTCTTCCACATAGTCAGAGTGTAATTGCTATTGTAATTGTCTTTTCACTTAATGCCTTCCTTTCTTTCCTGGCGACCTGACTTTGATCCTCAGAGTCCACAGAAAGGTGGAAGGAGGAGTCTCCTCTGACCTCTGTGTCTGCACTGTGGCCCATGTCCCACCCCATCCCGCACATACATATACACACGTGATAATTGTAACTGACGAACATTTGTCCTGTGGAGCTATGGACTTTTCTGAACTTTCACAAGGTGCAAAGAAAACATTTTTTAAAATTATTAAAGTGATAGCTGAGATTTTATTCCATTAGAATAACTTTAAGATCGTTGAAATAGTATTAGAAAGCTGGATCTGGTGGGTTTGGAGTAGAGGCAAGGGGATCAGAGGTTAACAATCAGCCTTAACTATGTTGTGAATTCAGGTGCACTTGAACACCCTGTTTCAAAGTGTAACATTTTTTTATCATAGAAATCACTCAGTGAATATTTTAGAAAATTGTATCTGACACTGGTTTAATCTTTAAATGTTTGAGGACAGTACAGATAAAACAACATTGAGACAGTAATTTTTACTCTGCCTGTCAGTCGCTGAGGAGGGAGAGGTAAGATGGAGTTTCTTCAGAGTAACGCAGAAAGCAGATAAAGTGAGCCCCTCTGTAACTGTGAAGACAGTCAGTGTATAGGAGTTCCTGTTCATTTTAGTTAGGGCAGGTGAATTCTCAGCCTTAAGTGTAGATTGTTCTTAACTGGGGAAGTTTAGCTATGGGTGGACCCTTTCTCCAGAGATGAATGGATTGTCTTAACATGTAGTACATTCACACAGCAAAGATGGTTTTATCTCCTTATAGCCAAGGTATTCCTAGTTCTCACTAAGATGATTTCTCTGAAGGCATGTCCAGTAGTGATGGTGGGGCTTAGTGTATCTGTACATGGCAGTATGGAGAGGATGCCTTGGGGTCAAAAGGTAGACTCTGGCTGTTTAGGGAGTCTCGTTCCTCCAGACCTTTTCAGTTCAGTAACATCAAGAAACAGGATTGAAATCCACTAGAAGATGGAGAACAAGTTGTTTGTGGCATACACTGCAGACATCAACTTGAGATTCCGGCTGTCTGGGTTAGATGGGGATTGGGGTGTTATTTGTCTATATAAAATTCTAATGCTGTCTTGCTTTGAATCTTTCTTTTCTTAGCAGTTTGTAATGATGTTATCAACTATTGTCATTATGAAATGAAACTCTTTACAAATATTATTTAATGTTCTTAAATAGAGATGCATTTTGGCCCAATGGCATTTTAGCGGAAGCTGTTCCATGCAGAGACAAAGCCATCCGAATGAGAACAAGAATCGCAGGGAAAACAAAGTTGTTTGCAGTTATGCCAGGTGAGTGAACACATTTAATTAAAATATGATGTATTTTTTCTGATATTACTTTTTGATATTGACATCATTTTTGTTATTCTGTTGACTGCCAGACAGTGACTTCCTATCTGCTGGACACTGCGCTTGGCATTGTGTGTCCACCCTGACCAGTCCTCCTAGCCGTCCTCTGAAACTCAGCCCTGCTCACCCAGAGCTGTAGTTAGCAGCAGGACTCTGACTGCTGCTTTGAAACATTTAGAAAACGATGTAAAGAAAACTTGAGAGGTGGATGGACTGTCAGTCACGGCCCTCGTGTTTGTTGTTATTTAAGGATAAACATGAGTATGTGTAGAAGGAGCAGAGGGCTGCTTTTCATCCCGCCCAGCTCCTGGCCGCCTGGCTAGCTTTGCCCCCAAAATAATTACACGGAAACTGTATTCTTTTATAACACTGCCTGGCCCATTGTCTCCAGCCCCTTATTAGCTAACTTCCACATATTGATTCAACCCTTTTCTAATAATCTATATGTCACCACGAGCTCATGGCTTACCAGGAAAGATTCAGCATGTCTGACCCTGCAGCTTCATGGCGGCGGCTCTCTGCCTCTGCCTGACTCTGCTTCTTTCTCACAGCATTCTGTTCTGTCTACTCCACCTATCTAAGTTGCTGTCCTATCAAAAGCCAAGGCAGTTTCTTTATTAACCAATGAAAGTAACAAATAGACAGATGACCCTCCTACATCAAGTATGGCTGGGGAAGCCCCTCAGTTGGCAGACTGCTTGCCTGGCATGCACAAAGCAGTGCATATAGTGGGCATCACAGATGTGCTTTTTATCCCCGACACTTGACCAGCCTGGCTGACATGAGACACACACACACACACACACATACACACACAAACACGAATGACTAGATTCCACGTATAAGGGATAATATGGGGGGGGGTGTTTCCTGCTTATTTAATATTATACATTCTAAGTCTGCAAACTGATAAATTTTTCTGCTCCTTTCTAATAGCAAAATAATGGTTTTGTTTTGGGATCGCTTATGAATAATTCCAGGACGCTCATAGACAGCTCTCCAGTGTTCTGTCTGTGGTAATTTGATGTTGTCCATGTAAGCTCTGAGCGCACTTGCCTCATAGTCGTGACAACGTTTCATTATTTTTGTTTTTGTTTTTTGAGGCAGGGTTTTTCTGTATAACAGTTCTGGCTGTACTGGAGCTCACTCTGTAGACCAGGCTGGCCTCAAACTCACAGATTCGCCTGCCTCTGTCTCCCCCGTGCTGGGGTTAAAGGTGAAGGCCGCCACCTCCTAGCAACTTTTTTATTCTTTACTTTCTCTTGCCGGAACTCTACACCCCAGTCCCATTTCTCTACCCTTATTTCTCACCACTTTTTATATACTTCTTTCTCATTTGTTTTTTGAAGTTCTGTTTGCCCGGGATAATACTTAATTTCTTTGTCCCTAACCTTGTCCTGCCCAAGGAACAACTCAGCTGCAGTCATTGTTTGTGCAAAGGACGTTTTCTTATTTCACTGTAAGCATCTCCACACCGTGAGCATCTTAACTAAGGTTGTACAAATCTGTCCGTCTATAAGGATATTGATGATTAGAAATCTTCATTCATGGGGGTGAGGGAAAAGAGTGAGTATCCCGTGGGAAATCAGAGATAGGATCATGACTCTAATCTGGAAGCTGTGAGCTCGACTCTGACGCTCCTGTGTGCGCTGTCTCTAGTGTAGGTGGTGCTCGATGCAGGTGCTACGCGCAGCCATTGACTGGATGCCTACTGTTCACGTGTCACTCTGCTCTAGGCTCTTTCCGTTCTTGGTTCACGATCATAATGTAGGCATGTCTTTCCTCTGTCTGTGGAATGAACGTGTGTATTTTCTCTGCTCCGTACAGATGAACTGAAGCACATCATTGGAGCGGAGACCACACGGAAAGGTATTCTTCGTGTCTTTGAAATGTTTCAGCACAACCAGCTAAATAGGAGAATGGTGTATGTCTTCTTAGAAGGCTTTTTAGAAACCCTATTTCCACAGTATAAATTCCGGGAACTTTTCAACAAACTTCATTCAAGGTCAAAGCAGATGCAGAAATATAAACAGAAACTTCAAAGTACTCAAGCGCCTTCTGTACAGAAAAGGTGACACTCCACCCTGTAAGCCTGGTGTGCACTTCTCCAGGACTAATGGTGTGACTCGTGTACTGTTGCATCTACACTGGTCTTTCCGTGTCTCCAAACAGACCCTAGTTCATCCAGAAGACTGGGCCTCCTCATTCTCACCTATAATCCAGCCACTACCAAGAGAGAATCCTGTGTCTTAAATGATTTGGTGCATTCTTTGCAACATTGAGAGGATACTGCCCCGTCTCATTCAAGACTGGAGTTGGTCTCTTTTGTTCCAAACAAATCAGCGTTCTCCAGCAGTGGTGAAGTGCCGGAGTGTACTTAGGAGCTAGGGAAGCACAAAGCAATGGATCCTAGGTCGCGAGCTTGTTAACTTTGCACACTGCGGTGTGACTGGGAGAGGTGTGTGCCCCTCGGTAATCTCGTGGGCCGTTGCCAGCATCCTGCTGTCATGTGGGTCAGCAGGTGAGCGATCTTTAGAACAAATGTCTCAAGGTCTGGGAAAAGTGACAGGACACCCTTTGTGTAGGAATAACTCTTCTCCAGAATTACAGTTTGGTTGTGTAAAGTAAAACTCTATAAAATAGAACCAATCAAAACTAGAATTTGATTGGATTTATTACTCACTGGTATAAATCTCCATAGATTTGTATGTGCTCTAAGGGCTCAGCTCGCTCTTATGGTACTCCACTCTCTCCTTTTCCTTTGGCATTCTGTGCAGAAGAAGCATGTGGTAGCTCTCTTATAAGTTCAAATTTTTTAAAAATCTTTTAACAGATTACTGATTATATAGAAGGGGAATTATTTATTGTAAGAACTGCCAAATACATTCTGTCCTTCAAAAAATTGGAAATTTAAACAGTACTCTATTAAAAGGTACCATATGATAACTTTAATCATATGATCTAGACATGCCTTAGGTAACTACCGACATAGCAAATCAAAGGATTAATGAGCTTATAGTCCTATGTAAACATACAAATGCCTAATTCTACTATGTGTACATATATGAAAATAAATAATGAAAACAGAACTGTACTATTTTTTAAAATATGCTTTTATTTATATTTCGCATAATGTAAAATTCTAAATAAAGCTAGTACACAAAACCCTTTGGTGTATACATTTAACTCCCTAATATAATTTTATATATCAGTGAAGCAAAATACCTTTTCCATTTTTGAAGCCTTTACATTTCCTGGTGTTTCCCATTTGTCCATTAAGAAGTCTTCATATCCCACGTATGCAGGATTTCTGTACTTTTAAATACTTCCCATGACTAGGGGTTTGGGATATATCAGCTCTTTTTGTTTTACAAATATTTAACACTAAAACCTTAAAATAGTGAAGCTACTTTTCAGACCACGAGCCAGTATCCTGGTGTTAGAACGTTTGGGTGCTCACAGTAAAGGACAGAGTATTGATGTCCCGGTTATTTGGGAGCTTTGAGATTGGGACAGTATATCCGTGTCTTGCTTTCGCTTAGATCCTTCTCACCCAGGAAAACCTGCGAACAGAGGGAGCCTTCCTGAAAAGCTCTGTGATGTTCATCAGTGCTGCTGTGCATATCTCTTATGCACATATTCAGCACGTGTTGCATGTCTTTCAGAATTGCATAAGTAGAATCCTTTTCTTGCAACTTTCAAGTAAGAAAAGACACTATTTCTCTGGTGTAAGAACTGTTTCTTATACTCACCATACATCCTTTCCTTGCCCTGCCAGCCCCTTCCTCTACGCAGGCTTAAATGGATGTGTCAAACACACCTGTAGGGAGCCAGCGTAGCCAAGTGCAGTGGTCTTCATACATGTCCCTGCCCGTTCCAATTATATTTTTACATGAATAAATCTTAGTATATACAGAAGAATTCATGCAAGAGCCTAGTGTGTACATGTGAAATGCATTTCTATGTAAAGTGAGAAAACTGACCGTTAACCAGGGGAAAAAAGGTCATATAAAATGCACATGCTCCTGATAACCCTGCCACACACCTGCAGCCACACCAAACAGAACCATTTGAGTGAAAACACAGCCATTTGAGCAAATGTTTGTAAAATAATTTTTTGAGAAGAGTCTATATTTCAGGAGCAGAAATGTCAAATGGTCACGTGTCTACTTGTCTGTGCTTTCCCATGGAGAGTGTGGCCGTGCTATGGCTGCGGATTACCTATTGAGTGACTTGGTCCAGCTGTGTATTTAACCCAGACGCCAAGTACAGTGTGCCACATATAATAAAGTTGTTATATCTCGGGCATTTATTGCACATATGAGCATACACGAAGAAGCTTTATGTCTTCTCATGTTGAGTTTCTGAATGCTTTCAAGTCAGTAGTGCCTTTAGGCAAGGACCTTCAAAATTAATCATTCTTTTGGATTTTCTGATTTTTTTTCAAGTAATATGTAACTACATAGAAACCATCACAACTCATTAACCTAAAATCTGATTGTATGACTTTAAATGTAGCACTCAGATGAGTATTTCTTATAATTAGGGTATTCTGTGTAGTTCCTGGAAACAGTCGTGCCATTGACCAATGGATGCACTTTGTTAGCCTTAATTTAAAACAAACAAAAAATTCTTGAATATTTCAGTTTGATCACTGTAAGTTTTTGCTGCAGATTCTTGGGGAAAAATAAATCAAACAGTTAAATGTAACCTAAAAGTGTACCAATTTTAAAAAATTAAGAACAACCTAAATTTCACGATCTACAGTTTTAATTTTGTGCAATATTTTCATTTGATGCATGTTTATTTGAGTAATTGTAAAATAAGTACATTTTTAATGTTTTGAGATCTATAGTTCTGTTTTCTTAATCCAACAACTTCATTCTGTTGTTGCTGCACCTTAATTAAGGACTTGTTTTAAAAGTCTTCTTGTCACTTGTAAAGTTTTTTTTATCAGTAGGAAATTTTGCTTATGGGGCCTGGCTCCTGTATTATAAGGGAAAACTAAAGAGCACATTCTCAGTTTGTCAGAAAACGTCCCTCGTGCCCATCACTGTACATACGTGTCTGTTGTGCCTACCTGCTTTGTCACTGCTTTCCTCCTCCAGGGGGACCATCAGAATGTCAGTTATTTTTATTAACTAAAAAGATTAAAATTTTTATTTGGTTTGTGTTATATTCTGTCCATTAGAAAATACTAATAAAAATATTAACAAACACTTTCATTGAGTTTACTTGGTAATATGTGTTATTTTTAAAATGCCTGCTCAATAGTCTTGTTTCTACAATCTCTCTGTTCTTTAATTTCAGTTAGAAGTTGAACAGTCATGCTCGAAGAATATAGATGAGCTACTGAATAGCTAAAACTAGCTGAATGTGATATTTTCCTTTTATGGGGTAGACCGTTGGCTGCACAGTCTTAAAGAGACTTTATGTTGTCCTGTCACTAAAGTTATAGAGTGGTTTTCCAAAACATACTAGCAAGTTATATTTTATGTCATTTGAAATTCAAATTTTGGCTGGTATTTTAGACATGTTCTTGTTTTGTTTTGTTTCTTCGAGACACGGTTCCTCTGTAACTCTGGCTATCCTGGAAATTGCCCCGTAGACCAGACTGGCCTCAAACTCACAGAGTGAGTGCTGGGATTAAAGGCGTATACTGTCACTGCCAAGCATGTTCTATTCTCAAAGACAGTTGATGTGGCATGTAATAATGTGCTTGGTTAAGATGTGTTTAGCATTCTTGGCCTAGATCCACAGACTGCTCAGACATCAAATAAATACCTAATACCTCAATAGGAATTGGCATAATATTTCTTAGAACCATACCCTAATTATCAGTCCCTTTGAGATGTGCTCTGACAGGGCTGTCTAGTGTTGCACAGAATGCTACAGTGGTCACAGTCCAGAACCTTGTCCAGGATCCTTGCCAGGGCTACCCGTTTCCTAAGCTTCATTGCTCGGAGTCTTTGGCATCAGCAGTGTATGGATCGTTGTTTTCCCAGGGATGAGCTAGGAATATTCACGGAAAGTTGTAGTATCTTTGGTTAAGAAGTGCAAACTGTTTTGGAAAAAAAAATGTGGATTTTGGGCATAAATTAATTTTTTAAATTGTAGAATGTCCAATCATTGGGAGAAAGCAGAAAATAAGGTAAATTGATAAATAGCTGATTGTACAGCAGATGTTAAAGTAGAATTCTGTTGGCTGAGGTTTCTGTCCCACCTGGTCCCTCAATAAACACACAGAAACTATATTATTTAAGTCACTGCTTGGCCAATCACTCAAGCATGTTGTTAGCGCTTATATTTTAAATTAACCCATTTCTAGTCATCTGTATTGCCACGTGGCTATGGCTTACTGGCAAGGTTCTGGTGCATCTGTCTCTGGCGGAGGATACTTGGTGTCTCTTTGACTCTACCTTCTTTCTCCCAGCATTCAGTTTGGTTTTCCTGCCTGGCTCTATTAACCAATAAAAGCAACACGTTAACAGAAGGCCATCTCAGAGCAGAATTTGGCTGTGAGTACCAGAATAGTGAACAGAAAGAAGGGGACTAGACTCTTTCCTCAAGGAAGCTGAAAAAGGTGCTTGCCATGAGTCCATAGAATTCTTTTTCCTGACAGAATCAAACCAGTAGTGACCAGAAAATTCATGGAAAGAAACATACATTTGAGTTCATGCAACGTTTGTGCATCACGTGTTACATTCAGAAAAGTTTGTAACAGCTCAGAGTGAAAATTGTATTTTCCAAGTCATGATTTTAGGAGAAATACATGTGATCTTTTAAGCTGAGCTGACCTTTTGCATATAAGAATGGAATAAAACAAGTACTGTTGTAAACCCCCACTGTCCCCCTGAATCACAGAAGCCTCCTGAGTTACAGCAACACGGTAAGTAAACTAGGCAGAAGACAAACACAAGGCTTTTCATGAACTATGGGAATGGCAAGCTTAAACTGCCTGTGTTTCTCTCAAGGAAGGTAGATGCACTTAGTTCCCCCAGGAAGGACTTAGACACAATGTGAGCCATGTGGAGACTTGTGACTGAGGCCATCCACCTTCCTTGGCTTCCTGATGTTTAGCAAAGGTGCTCTGAGTGAAGCACAGTTCTAACACAGTCAAGGCCTAGTGAGCTGTTTTAGTTGTTGGAGCACCGCTGCTGTATAATTCTCGGACAGTTGAGAACTGGGGTCAGCCCAGCCGACAGCCAGGCCATCTCTACCACCTCTTTAGCCTTTGTCCCGAGGAAGAGATGAGAAGTTGAACAGTGTGGGAGCATCCACACCATCAAGTAGAAACGTGGCAAAAAAACATTTACATGAAGGTCAAAGGAAAGCTGTTGAGTTGATAATGTTTGTCATAATCCAAGCAACTGGAAGAACAGCATTTGTTTCCAATAAAGATTGCCAGAGTGAACAGTTAATCCAAGGTCAGCAGCCTTGGGAGGTGCAGGTACTATTTTGCCTTCTCCGGTTTATAGATGGGACTTGCTGGTCCAAAGTTCTGCGATAGGGAGTGCTAAAGCAACCAACCCAGACGGTCTGGCTTCTCAGTTTCATCCTTGCTGCTGCCATCCTCACAATGATGGAGCCATGCCTGAGGGTCTTCGTTCTTTGGTCAACGCTGTGGTTTCCCTAACAAAAGGCTGCCTAAAGTAGGATGGAGCAAAGGCAGAAAACCAAGCATTTCCTTTTACCTTCATGTCATAACCACTCCACCCCTGGGGTGCAGGGCGTAAAGAAGGTCCGTGGAGGTGGGAGATAAATGATCATGAGAAAATGGGTCATTGTTCCATAGCTTACCTACTTATAACTGAGTAACTGGTGTTTATAAAAGGATTTTTTTAAAAAAAAATACCTAGTATCCTTTATATTTTCAGTCTACCCTACAAACACTTCAAAATTCCTCTGCTGCATTCTTTGCAATCAACCACGTTTCCTAAATGCCTCTGTCTTGAGTTTTCCTTTGACAGGTGAATGACCTACTGGGGTACCCCTCATGGGCCCCCAGGCACATCTGACCCCAGTGATGAACCCATCCCCATGTCTCCCTGGGTCTTGGTAAACGTGGTTCCTGTTGTGGTTAGTGCAAAGCTGCTTTATTTCTGAATTGATAGAAGCAGTGTTCAGAGGCCAGTTTTTGTGGTTTGACCCTCTGTCAAGAAACCATTTGTCTCCCTGAGTCATCTGCCTGTCCTGAGGACTGACAATCTCAAGACAGCAGCTGGTCTCACCTGAAGGACTTGAAGGGACAAAACCAACTCTATTTTGTGCTGGGCCCCAAGGTGGCTGTCAGCAGAGCCGAAAGTTCCTTAGACTGGAGCCCAGCTGCTGGAGGTGGCTGTCAGAGCAGGAAGTTCCCTAGACTGGAGCCTGTAAAACTTTAAGACAATTCTGAAGCTATTTCTGACAATTCTGAACCCTCTCAGCCTCCGTGCCTTAGTGCTTCCCCATTTACCCTGGAAACCAAGGACCTAACAGCTACACATGCACATATGTTCTCCAGAAATTGGGGCAAGATAACCTTTAAGATGTTGACTCAGTTCCTGAACAATTACCCATACATGTATGTTTTGATTCAGTCCCTGGGGAACAGGGTCAAAATGACCTCTTACCTCATCTGATCTGACAACAGCTCTCCAGCCAATTATGGGTAATAGCCCTTTCGAATAAGCCAATCATAATAGTCAAAGAACAACCCCACCCCTTGCTTCTGTGGCCTTCTCCTTTCAACATGATAAAAACTGGCTGAATTAGAGCTTCATAAAGATGGTTTATTCCTCTGGAGTTAGCAGATTATAGAATGGTGCACATGATATTCCTTTCAATATTATTTTTGAAATTCATCTGCATCATTTGGGGCCATCACGGTTTATCCATTCTCCAGGTGAAGAATGATTGGGTTATTTTAAGGTTTGGATGATCATTAATAAAACTGTCATGAGTGTTAGAATGGACTCCACATTCCTAGATTTCCCTGGGTATTAAGAGTGATCCATTAATGGGGTGATGATGTAGGATGGAGCCACTCAATGGAAAGGGGATGAGGGACGACCTTCATGGTCAACCAATTGTACCAGTGAAGGGAAACCCCAAAAGGAGGTATGAATTCCCCAACATGTTTATACTCTTCCTGATCAAAGAACGCATCAAATAGGCAAAATGGATAATAGAACAAGATGTCAACAAATTCAGTTTCAGTGATTGAACTAGCTTTTAAAAATGACACGTGAGCCAGGCAGGCAGCATCCTCTCTGCAAAATCAAAAGGAGTTCCAGTGAACTATGGAGAGCAAGGAAGTCTTATGGGCAGAAAAGTAGAGGGGAATTAAATAAGAAGTAGCGTGTAGGCAGAGGCTACATTTCTTCCAACTGCCCTGATCCAGATAATCACACAGAAACTATATTAATTACAGCACTGTTTGGCCAATAGCATATGCATATTTCTAGCTAACTCTTACATCTTAAATCAACTCATTTCTATTACTTTGTGAATCACCACCACGAGGTTGTGGCCTACTGGTAAGGTTTTTGCTGGCGGCTAGTGTCTTTCTCCTTTGGCAGCTACATCATGGTGTTCTTTTGACTCCACTTTCTCTCTGTCTCTCTCTCTCTGTCTCTCTGTCTCTCTCTCTCTCCCCTACCCCAGCCTGGCTATATTCTGCCATGCTATAGGCCAAAGCATTATTCACTAGCAAATAAAAGCAACACATACAGAAAGACATCCCCCATCAGTAGTGCATTGGCCATTTTAAGATATAAACAAACTCTGGTTGACTTCATTTAATTTATCTGTCATTTCCTCATCTCTATGAAGGTCAACTTGCAGAACAAACAACTTAAGTTTCAGTTTGGTAGTGGAGTGTCTTAGCACATATAATTCTGTTTGGGCTCTCTGTGACATTTCTTTTAACCAGGGAAATAAGGCCCAATTCCACAGAAGGTCCCACAGAACTCTGTGTTACAGAACCTCCAAGACGACCTCTCTTTGATTGACCCCAGTTGTTTCCATTATAGTAGTGCTACAGCCAGAGCCATAGTCTTTTCCTCAATTCTGTATTCATGTTATTGAACTTTCAGTACCCCTGAGAAGGTTGTGGCTTGTATAGCCAGTTGGTCCACAAAGTTCAGGCAGCCTGTTTACTGAACAGTAAAGCTGGCATCAGACATAAAGATGAGTCTTGTTTGGGTCATACTGTGGAGTATGAGACTAACTTTCATGGTAGCGT